CATATCCTGATGATTTGCCTCTTTATGTTGGCACTTGAGCTTGCACCTTTGATAGTCCAAGTCCACTAAATCTTGTTAATTTTCCTCCCAATGCGCCGTGTCTATTTTTTAATGAATGCTAGCGACGTGATTCAGGAGCTGGGACAGCTGGCAGCCATTTGGTTTCAGTGTCAGTGGCTGTTTATGTCCCAAAACTGGCTCCATGTGTCACCTATAGTTCAAGAGTGAACAATGTTTTTCAATCCGTTGTTGTCGGAGCTACTGGAGGGTTTCAGTTCACTCTCACCAAAACTCCTCTGCATACAAACAGAAGAAGAATTACAACTCAGTTATTGGACGCTGGGCTCCCTCATGTTGGCATGTCCCACAACTTGTAGGCTTAGTGTTCCCCAACAAGCCCATGCATTGGCCGTGTGTTCATGACAGACTGCATGTGATGTTCAAATCATCTTTCCATGTCTTTACTTCATTTATTATCTCTCTGGATGTCTTTGGTTGCCCCCTCCGCTCTTATTCCTTCCCCGAGTACACAGCTTGTGTTGGCAGCCCGTCTGGCTGTCAGGATCAGGAAGCTGCCATGCCAGGTTTCACTGGACAAACACAGTGGTCTCAGTCACCGTTTGAGGGCTAATGGTTCACCCTGACACTGTGCCAGAGATTCTCGCTTAACTTGCCTCTCAGGGTCAGTCATTCATTCTCTTTCAACAAACTGGACGGAGGAAGAAAATGAAAGAGAGAGAAAGATATTCGCCTGGAAGTTTGAATCTCAGCGCGTGTCCTCTTGTACTCATAACCCGGCATGAGTCACAGTTGTGTATCTTCATGCCTGTGTGGGAGCCTTATTTACTGTAGATGTATTATTGAATCTGTAATTCATTTCTGATGACTATGCCCACTGACCTGTATAAATCCACGAAGCCCTTCTAAACAATCGGCTGGCCCCGTTCTAAAGAAGCACACATGAGAGGAGTTGTGTATTCATTTAACCAAAGCTGACATGGGTCACTGGATCACAGACATATGGCTTTTTGCTGAATCAAACACACCCCTCCTCAATCCCCCCCCCAAAAGGCAACAAGCACTGAACTGTTGGTCAATGGTCAAAAGGACAATATTTGGTTTGCAATGGCAAAGTTCATGTGTTTCCCTATTCCTCCCACTGCAATAGACTTGTGTGCCGTTTACAGGGTTTGGATTGGTTTATGTAACTAGGTTACTAAGGTCCCTCTCTGCAGTAATGTTATTTGTTCCACCTTGTAAATGATGAACATGGTTTCTCTTATCGAGGTAGTCGATTTAAAGTACCTTAAATAGGTTACTAGATTTCCTCTGGAGAAGCATAATGTTTATGCAATGTCGGTGGCAGATTGTATCATCTGACACTTAAACTAGCCTGCTACCAAAGCTGATGTTTCTGACTCACCAGACAGGGATAATCCTGTGAAAGATTCAAAACATCCTTGATGGCTACTTGCATGCCATGTGTATTTTTATATACACAACAGGGGCGGCTGTGGCTCAGTTGGTATAGTCGGTCATCTCTCAATCAGGAGGTTGGGGTTTCGATCTCCAGCTCCTGCAGCAACATGTCAGATGTGTCTTTTGGGCAAGACACCCAACCCTGAATTGCTCCCGCTGCATTGTCAGCAGCGTATGCATTTGTATGAATTGGATTAGTTACTTCTGATGGTCACTTTACCGAGCAGCCTCTGCCTGCAGTGTCTGAATGGGTCTAGCTTTTCTGCTTCTTTACATTGTTTGTCTTGCACCTGTATGCATTTTGCTTAAATGTGTGCACACTAGTTAACTGTTTTGTTGTGTATTTTCTATGGGCACCGGAAAAGAAGTATTTGGCAAAAAGCAAGCATGCATGCAGGTGATGATACAGAAGATGAGAAAATAAAGAAACAGCTCCATGCTTGTGAAACAGTGTAGAGCTTTGGTCCAAATGTAACTACTGAATCTGATCATATATCAGACAGATTCTTGACTTAAAAGTAGCTTTGAAAAAATATGTTTGGAAGAAAAAAACTAACTCAAGTAAAATGTGCTATATATTTTTTTTCATTATCAGAAAATGTCAACATTGGCGAAACTTTGCAGGTGATGCACGAAGCATTTATAAAACATGTTGCATGAAATTAATGTCAGGTTGTGTCGGTAACCGAATACTTTCATACCATTTATACTTAGTGTGACATCACAGGTAGTGCTACTTACGACTGAAAGTTATCTTTATATTTAATTTTTACTTGTTGCCATGTTCTCTTTTGACAGCTGAGTTTGCCTCTGTTAAGATATAAAAGTGAAGGATGGATTAAGAGGTCAAAGGTTACTAGGTCAGCCAGTGGGGTAAACACACACACACACACACACACAAACACACACCTGTGACATGTGTTGCTCCTTGGTAGATTAATGTAACTTATATTTAAAGAAGATAACAAAGAGTACAATTGATATGCTCTATTTGTAAAGTATCCCGAAATCTCTTTTATGATGTAATCTGAAGCAATATTGTGACAATTAATTGATTGAATTGTTAGTCCTCTGGTGCAAAAAGGTTGTTTTGCTTGGGATGTTAAATCTCTCAATAAACATCAGTGTCATCATAAACCCTGTTTACTATAGCTCTCATTTAACTTAAAGTACAGAAGAGAAAATGCAGTAAAGCATGGCTGAAAAAAATGAGTTGAATTTCCTTTTTTTCTTAAAAGATTGAAAATATGTATCTCAAGCTTGTATAGTGCTGAGACTCAGCTTGGGACACGAGAAGTTATATTAAGTAATAACACTATTTTGTACTTCTAATTCAGAGTACAGTGTCAACTAGGTGTGCTATTGTTCATTAGAATCCCAGCATGAAGAGTACTGGAGTCCGTCTACCCTGCTGAGACACTGGGGGATGGCTGTCTTCACAAATGCTGCCACACAAAACCCAAATGACATCAGTGACAAGCACAAACACACTGTCAGTAAACCTCTTTCCTCCTCCATTCTTTACCTCATAACCAGCTTTAGATCTCATCACATTGTCCGTTTCTGAAACATATAAGCCTCTCGTACATTATTTGACAGAGTATCCTAAACAATTTGAAGAAATTTCCTCTTCCCATCTGTAGAATTGAAAGCTTAACTCTGATTTGCTGCTTGTTTAGTTCATTCATACAGATTATGTGGAATAAACACTATACAAGTGTTTGCAGGTTTGATTTCAGTACACCTTTTCTGAACTAGAATCCCTTCTTTCACAGCACTGATCTGGGGATATTTTTCCTCCACTGTCCCTTCTTTAAAGCTGCTTCTTCACCTCCAATGATAGTTCAGTTTATTCAGATACTCTGGTCCAACCCCCCAGGATATTTGTTTAATGGTTGTTTACTTCCAAGGCTACACTTCTATCTATCCAACCATCTCTCTATACATCTCACAGCAGTAATGAGTTAGTCCAAAATAATGATGTATGAATCTGTATATAAGGAAACAAATTCCTCTTTTTCAAATTACAGAAGATAAAAAAAAAAAATCGAACTTTGACATTTGGTCAACACTGGCGTTTTATCCAAGATGTTTGAGTTTTTCCAAAACTTCAGCACAGTCTAACCAATAAGTCTGATGCTGTTGTAGGCTTTGTAAAGAAAGGATGAAATGGGACACTTTGTTTTCCTTTATCGTGAATAAACTCATTGATATAATCGACGGATGGCCCATTTTTCCTTTTTATTTTTGCCTCTGTATTTCTCCAGTATATATTTCTTTGCTTTTTTGTTATAGCTTGTTCAATTATAAGCATTAGTTGAAGGTTGTGACTCTTCATTTTGGTATTGAGCATCAAAGGATCATCAGCTTTACACCAAAGACGTGTATGTTAATCAATGGTGTGAATGATATACACATATGCATGTGTATGAATGGTATTAGTTACTTCTGATGGTCACTTTATATAGCAACCTTTGTCATCAGTACCATATTTACCATTACCACCATCAGGTCCAGTAAACGAGTTAAAGCTGAATAAAGGAAGGACATGCTAGCAGCCTGCTTAAAGCTCGAGATAATAAACTGCTTGTTATTGGAAACACTATGGGTCTCATTTAGATATGGCCAGTGGACACAACTAGGCAATTTATGTGCATTTTGATGTTTGTGTGCATATGTGTGAGTGTGTGTGTGTGTGTGTGTGTGTGTGTGTGTGTGTGTGTAAACGTCATGTTCCTGATTAGGATTCAGGTAACCATCTGACCTGAACTCTGCAAGGCTTCCAGAAGTCAGACAACATGCAGGAAACGTTCACAGAAAGTAATATCCTGATGGGTTATTGAGGCATAAAAATAACAGCAGGGAATGTGGAACCTTGCTGTAATTGAACCCACCATACACATCTTTCACACTAATGAGCAGAAACACACACACACACACACATGCAGAAATCCCTGTCAGTAAAGAAATGATGGAGACCCCATGAGCACAGAATGAGATATAAACGAGAACAAAAAGATGAATGGAATGATAGTGCACAAGAGTGATAACTAACTAGTAGGGTTGGCTGCGGCAGTGTAACCTACTGAAAAAGTAGATGTTTATCAGATTCTTTCTTGCGGTTTTCTGCCTCATTATCAGAAGACACAGATGACAGTCTTTGGTCAGGCTGTGCATTGAGATCCATCGCAGCTGCACATCACGATCTGCAGCTCGTGTCATGTCGGCAGTGTACCCAGGAGTGTTTATTTGTCACTGACTTGGACATATTGTGAGCTTCATGTTCTGTACATGATAAAAATAACTAAAAACTTTTTTTCTAATTGCCTTAGACACAAGAAAACTTTATTTCTGATTTAAGTTTGTATAAAAAAAAAACACAACCCACTCAAATGTTTCACACTTACATGTCTTTTTTAGAAAAGAATCAAATAAGACGTGTTACTGATTTAAGGTGTGATTGCATAATTTATAATTAATTCTCTCTCTCTCTCTCTCTCTCTCTGTCATTGTATTTCCAGAGTTTGCTCCAAAGCACCATGAACAAGATGAAGAACTTTAAAAGGCGCTTCTCTCTTTCTGTTCCCCGCACTGAGACCATTGAGGAGAACGAGTTCACCGAGCAGATCAACCAGCTCAACATACACCACACACAGGGTAAGAACCTTTATTAATCCACTCAGCAATGGAACAACCTGTCTGTAACTGTATAAAGACAAACACGTTTTTATGTTTTTATTTTTCAGTTTTAAAGTAGGTGAGTTTCAAAATTGGGTGCTTGTTCGGAAATCAAAATAGAAAAAAACTTTTGCACATCCATTATATAAGACAGGTGCGTTGGAGAGAAATGTGTCCATCAAAAACTTAAAGGCAAACTCCCTCACACTGTCTGATGTGCAAACAAACATTTAAGATAAGATAATCCTTAATTGATCCCCTTAATTGAAATTAAAATGTTGCAGCAGTAAAAGACAAGAAGATGAGCATGCATATTAGTACAAATAAAATAACAATATAGGAAAGATAAATGTAAAATATATTTACAACTATTGTGAGACAATGGCTGAAGGCCATTATTGGCAGCGTTTCGTACTAGAACTTCATCAGGCAAAATGTGGGACTTTTTATATTACGTTCATGCTTGTCAGGAAATGACATTCAAGGTAAAAGTCTTTTTTTTAGAGTTGATAAAGTTAAATGTGGGATGGAAAGTGGTCATTTTGACAAATCCATAGAGAACAATCACCTTAGCCTGAAGAAGTGTTTGAGCATCTTTCAGCTGGTTTGGGGCTTTTGACCCACACAGTTCTGTGTGTCTCTGTTTGCTGGATGTGTAAAGTTCTCTGAAGCATTTTTATGTTTAACCTAGATAAATGGTACAGAGCTTATTGAGCACTGGAATGGGATTTCAAAGTGTGCACCTTGATCTCATACATAAAGAAGGCTCTATTGTATTCTACAATAAATGGCCTACCGCGAATAAATCAGGGAAGGTAACTTATTCTGAATCATTTCTGCAAACTTTGCAGAGAATAAAGAATCTGTTCCTGTGTAGCACACAAGAAAGTCACCTTTCACACATGTTTGTTCTGTTGGCTGCCATGCAAACCCACTTTTTCGGACTCCTCTCGTATCTGAGGCATTCCAGTTTTTGGCAGGGTGGCCACTGTGGCTTACATTTCATAACTACTAATCGAATGCTTAATTAGGCATAATTAAATCCCTAAACGCTGAGCTCCACTTCCTTTGTCTTTTGGACCCTGCATGAATGATCAGCTTATCTCTAATAATAGAGCACAAACTGCAATCTCATTCTGCGTTTTAATACCAAATACAAAAGCCTTCCTTCCTTCTGTGTCTATAGTGAACCCTCGCAGATTAAATGGGGTTTTTTCCGGCTACGACTGGTACCACCATTGGCGCTGTGCAACAGAGGATCAGCAGGTTTCTAAGGGAAACGAGGGTTATGTAGGGATAAGTAGGGGTAGATAATGCGAAAGAACTGAATGCATCGAGAATGAGGTTTTCTAATATCTCTGGTTTATTATGTAGAGTTTGAATGTGAAGATGGTTCAAAGAGATGGATTTACTGTGAATTGGCTGAATATGTATGCGTCTCTAAATCAAAGCACCAACGCGATGGTTATTTGCTGTAAATTGAGGAGAAGGGCTTAGATTGAATGTTTTAAATTAAGAGTCAAGGTGAAAAAAGCCACTAAAACATCCACGGTCAATAGAAAGAGTGAAGTTCTCTAATGTTTTAGCAGACCTGCTTGTACAGACAACTCTTGATTCGACTAATCAAAATCAAGAAACTAAAGCTTCAGACACTCGTTTGAGTTTGAGTGTGACCTTCTGCAACCTGAAATAGAGCAGCAGCTGGACGTGCCATTTAACCCCCCCAGAGTAAATCTGTGTGCAGCACTGTCTGCTCCCGAAGAGAAATGATGACCAGGCAGAGACAGACAGACAGAGAAAGAGGAGACAAAGACACAGAGACAAACAGCTGATTGAAGAAGAAAGGAGAAAAAAAGTGTGTGTGCATGAATCCCAGAAGCCATCTAAATTTCTCCACCTCCTCTCAGCTTTTTTGCTCATCTCAGTGTTCTAACTTTCTGTTCTCTTTCCAACATGTAGAGTTAGAGTATCATTGCACTCACTCAGACAGTATGCAGCATATCAAACAGTTTAAATAAAGTCAAATGGAGACAGTATTTATGCACCAAGAACATGTTCATCAAATAGTCAGCGTATCTTTTTATTCATGAATCCAGTGAGCATTTTGAGTGATGTTATGTACAGTGTTGGATGTAAAGTGTTACTTAGCAACTAAAACTCCACAGCTATTTGCCTTAACTATAGCTATGTTTCAAATTCAATAATGCTGTAACAGTTACAACATTTCAAAAGCACTCTTTACTTGTTACTTCACGTGGAATAGTCGACAACTACATCAGATTAAGGTTTAATAACATCCGTCACCACAGTAGCACTGTGGGAGAAAGCATTTCAGTAAACACAAACACACACTAGTGATCATTCAGTCTTGATCATTCTGTCTTGAAAATACCGACATTATGTTTTCCCTCCTAGAGCTAAAGGGCAGGAATATAGTGGGGAGTTGTAGTCTTCTGCTGAGGAAGGAAAACCTGGTCCTCGGCCAATAATAGTAATTCTATTTTCGCGAAGCTCCGAGACATACAACACGCTTCTACTGAAGTAGCTGCAGAGACCCAAGCACGTGACCCAGGTGACGACCACAAAGGAGCTACTTCATCCAAACAGCCAAGGGATTTTTAATCACAGCCAGCTCCACGATCTGTAAGCAGGAAGAACTGAAGCTATAATGTTGAAGAAATGCTTCCCATGTCAACTGGAAGTCTGTTGTTTTTTAGAGAAGTAAATAGCAAAATACCAACATATTGACAATGACTTATGACTACATTGATATGAGTTTTGAAGTAAAAAGAAGTACCACAAAAGTTTATTTCCAAAGTAACTAGTTACTTTCATAATTCAACAAATGAGACAGTAATTCAGATACTCTTTTATAGTAGTATACTCGTAACTTTAACCATTTTTCAGTAACTTGCCCAACACTGGTTATGTATGATTTAGGTATTGTTTGACATTTGGAAGCTCATTAGCTCAATTGCAGAGTTGATTATAGCTTAGCTAAGTGTAAAATGTGTGTGTATAAAGCAAATGAGATTCAACATGTAGGCTGAATGGTTGAATTTTTAACATGTTATAGCACCAGTCTAACTTTTTCCCCTTTGCTCTTTCTAAACCAAGTTAGCAGCTGGGTACAGCTAGCCCTGAGCGCTAGGTTCTTAGTTCACTGACTGACATTTTTAATATATCAGTGTTACAGATGAGAGTTCCAAACAGCTTTAAAATAGCTTCAATCCTGCAACTAAAAGGACTACATTGTCTGGGCTCAGACACCACCACCCTGAATCACTTTACCACAAGTGACAATTTTGCTCTTGTGATGCCTAGCTTCAGGTGATTAGCTGCTTTTAGAACATGGTTCTACAGAACATTAAAGACCATTTTACAGGTCATCATAACACGTGTTTGCATGATTGGGTACATGTAAGACCTAAGTGCAGATTTGTATATGCCGAAGACACATCAAAGATGCATTGAGATCCAGTTGTATGGGCTATATCAATAAAACGGCCTTCATATGGTCACATTCTTGGGGTGAGAGCATGAACTGAAGAACAACTCGGTCTTTGTTACCAACATGATCATATGTTTTTTGAAACTCTTGGATGTTAGTATTTCTCATTTCAATGCACACACGTGAAAATGAAAGGGGGTTCATTAAAAAGAGGGACATATTGCATCCTATTTATCCTGGACGAGATGATTTATGTGACCCACATCCAGTTCATCAAAGTGTAGAATAAAGCAGCACGGTGAGGCTACTGACGTTATTCCAGCAAAGTATTGTGAAAAATGTGGACCCATCTTTCTGTTTGTCACAGCTCACACTCCTTCATTATAATGCTCAGGAGTGCCCCCAGGGCTATGTGTTCAGCTCCCTCCTGTTCACGCTGTACACCCACGACTGTAATTCCCAACAGAGAGATAACTCTGTTGTTAAGTTTGTGGATGACAGCACCATCACCGACTGTATTTTAAACATAATGAGAATTTATACCTTGAGGTGCAGCGTGAACAATCTGCTCAACATTGTGAGCAAACTCTGAAGACCAAGAGAAAATACCATATATCAGAGGAAATGAGGTGGGGATGGGAAAACAATTTCAGATTTATGGGAATCAGCATCACAAGGAACCTTGCCTGCACTTCACACACATGATCCCTGGTGAAGACAGCTTTGAAAAGCTGTATGTATAAAACCCTGTAAGCCTGAACAAAGAAGCAATAGAGAGCTGGAATCATATTCAAATAGGAGATTATAGAAAAGCCACATAATATCAGTGCTACCCATCTACCATTAGCAGTTATATTGTTGAGATCAGGCGTTTCTGCAGAGCCCAAGGGATAATAACAAAAACAACTTTTTTGTCCCAACTGTTAACATGGAGGAGTTGTGATTATGACCGATACTGCAGCCAGTCAGCAGGCAGGGGGAGCTCGAATATTTTGGCTTTACTCCCAGGCAGATGTTTCTCAACCCATCTTTATAAAGTATGCAGATTATGATATATGTTTTCTCTTTGTATTATTAAGTTATTATGCAACTTCAACATGCATTTCGTTGTACATCTCTGCCGTAAAGTTACATTAATTATCCTTCAAGTCAAGTCAAGTCACATTTTTTATAAAGCCCATTCAAAAATAGCAGCAGCTGACTAAAGTGCTGTACGACACATTAAAGAACCAATATAACCATTGAACCTTGTTTAAACAGTAAAGACAATGAGGAAAATGTATCTTTGATAGCAGATTTTAGCCATTAAGCCATGCATATTTATGATGCCCTACACATATTATTATGCTCAGGTTAGTTCTTTGCAGCCTCATTTTTAGACTGATAGTTCAATTCTCTGACATGGTTTTTAACACTTAAAAACAAGAGCAGCTGGACCACACGGACAAAGACAAGGATAGTCAGTCTCAGATCACTGAGCACAGTGAACTCATTAGCGTCCCCTTAGGATGCAAGTACACAAAAATGTGCTCGGTAACATGAACAGAAAACACACAGTTCCATCACTGTTCTGGCAGATGATGAAAACTTTAACCTTTTTTATTTCATCGAAATTGAGGGTGTGTATGTATTTAAGTCGATATCCTCTGGGGTAGAAAGGACTTTGCTACTGACCAGCCTGTAATGTTTCACATTAGTCAGAATCCCCTTGTTCACTTCCCGTATATTAGTCCATTCAAAGCTGTTTTGTTGAGCTGGAATAGGAACGTGCAAATGTAATATTGATAGTAATCAAATAAGCCACTGTTAGACCTCAGCTCTACAATGGGAGCGTCGTCATCATCACAGTTTAAACCTCCAGATAATGTTCTGCAGGTAGATAATGAATCCTGAGTAAAGGAATAACTTTTTTTGTCAGATTGAAAATCTAACTTTTTTGAAAATATATTCAAAAGTCTATAAATTATCAAAAGCTTTGATATATGCATGCATTGCACAAAGCCATATTACTGTATTACAATATGACTTGACAACATTAGCCACTCCTCCATCTTATCTGCTAGACCACATGATAGTTTAACCCTTCTTCAGTTAAACTGTCCTGCAGATTTTTCCAAGAAGAGCAGCTTAAACTTGCGGTAATAAAAGTTGGGTGGATACAGTCTGTACATAAACATGGACGTAGTCTCATTGACGTCACCCATTGGTTTCTGAAGCGCCTATCGGTGGCGGTCACCATATTGAAAATGCTGTCTCAATCTAACTTCAAACTAACAGTAAGATCAGCCAGCATCAAGAATTGGTGAGTCAGGCCAAATTCCAGGCATGTTTATTTCTGCTTTAAAAATAGGCCTTTTTGAGTGGTAGTGTATATGACTTTTGCAGTCAGCCTCAAGTGGACACTCAAGGAACTGCAGTCTTTTGTACTTCTTCATTGACTTAATTTTCCAGGTTGTCGCCTGTGTACATCACATAATAGCTTAAAAAAATGTTTTGGGGGAAGGTCCAACATTATTCCTTTCTTGTACTCTGTAGTGACTTAGATAATAACATTATAGCACTTGCATATAAGATAGGTTAAACCTGGAGTTTGTCCAATAAATAATAAATAATGTTTATTCTAGCAGAAGGAAAATACGTATAAATAAGTATACAAGTGCCATAAATAAGAATACATATTTGGTGTAAAAACACTAATGTCTTGCTGGCACCACATTGTTGTAGTATTTTAGGGACTCTCTCTAATTAAACACATCTTTTTTGGATCTTGGCAATAGGATTTCTGAAAACTGACTATCACAGCTCATCTTCCTCAGTCATGATTATCTTTATTATCCAGGCTTTATAATGATGACAGTTCTGATATCATTACGTCTGTGTTTGATAACTCTAAATACACTTCTGAAAAGAGGGAAAATCTTGTTTGATATTGAGAAAATTACACAAGCTGCTTTATTATTAGCTATCATGTGAAGATCCCAGTGTTACAACCTATTCCTTTGTGAAGCACAGGTTATGATAATTGACTACAAAAGCAGCTTTTTTAGTGCCCTCACCACCGCTGTTATCTGCTGCTGAGCCTTGTGACTGAGACTAAGGCAGACAGCATCTATCACTAATCATTCCTCTTTCCTTAAGGCAATAACTGTCTCGCAAATGGACAGGATGCAACATGAGACTCCGAAGCTTATAAAGACACTGTGTCATCCTGTGTTGTAACATTGACTGTTTTCTAGAGCAATAACATTAACCACTAACATGTTATGCACATCTTGAACTTAAAGATTCAAGATGTACTGTATGGTGAAGAGTTGACTCCGCCCACAAGCCCTGAGGTGCATTTCATCCCCAGTCTCCCTTCCCTGTGTTTCCTGTTCCTTCTCAGCTTTCCAATCCGTTAATTAGAGGACAAAATATTATCTTAAAACAATTCCCAATGACTCAAGCACACATGGTGTGTCTGCTCTGGTATCATCCTGTTTAATGGGTCAATGTTTACTGATGAAAAGACCTTGAACAGACAGATGCTTTTTAGATAGATAATATCAGCATGCATATCTGTTCTGTACAAAGCCATCAACTTAGTATTTTATGAATTTATTTAAAAAATTGAACAATAACAACCACTAGGTCAAAATGTTGGCATGTTTATTCAACCAAAACAAATTGGTGAAATCTCGATCTGTTTGTGTCTTATCTATAGACTGTATATTGAAAACGGACTGGGCAAAAGCCATCTGGGAGTTTAGCCATAATATTTAGAGCTCCCCCTGCTGACTTGCTGCAGTATAGGTCATAATTAACCCCTGCTCTATGATAACAAACTATACATTGAAAATGCACATCAGATACATTTCCTGTGCACCTGCAGAGTACAGCAGAAACGGTGAGTGATAACGTAATGAACGCTTATACAAGACTCATTGTACTTTGATAAATGTCAGTGTCTGTTTCAAACCGATACAAGATTCTGTTCTGCTGTGGACTGTACCCACCTGAGAGATCTTTGGTTTTATAGGTAATTTAAATGTATGCATTATATGTTAGAGAAAGTGGCTAGCGTCAATACTGCAGCTTTTACAGTCAATCCCTACTGTGCAGACTCTCGTTGCAAATAATATTTTGGCTTCAACCAGTTAAATGGAAGAAGTCTGAGGGACGCTGTCCACTAGCATATTTTTATGGTGTTATCATTTACAAAAAAAATGCAGGAATATTTCTTTAATGTCTTCTGTTTCTCCCCCTTTTTGTAACCACAGAGTCAGATGGAAACGCTCTACAAAAGCCTCACGTGGCGTACAATATTGGATTGTCCTTTTTATAACGGGATGTCTTGCAGGCATCCATCCATATCTCACAGCAATCAGACACCTTTTGTGTGTGTGAGTGTGTGTATCAGTGTGTGTGTGTGAGTGTGAGAGTGTGTGTGTGTGTGTGCATGTGTGTGTGTGTGTGTGGGTGTGTGTGTGGGCTCATATCAATGTCGCATTTGCTGACCCCAATTAGCATCAGCAGATCAAAGGAGCGGTGTAGCTGTGATATTCAAATGACAAGCAATCAGGCTGTCATTTCATCCCCCCAGACCAGACCATTTATACTGTCGATCAATCTGACACAAAGTGGTCTGTTAGAAACACGGCTGCTGTGTGGCTTCTTTATACTCCTTGTTTAACTCGTCCAGATATAAAAAAAAACACCTCCAGATGAGGCCACGGGTCGAGTTGCTGAAAGTAACGTTTGCGGGCAATCAAAAAACAGCTGTTAGTAAAGCTGCTTAAAATGATAAACACATTTCCTTTTAACACTTAGACCTGCTTCCCTTGTTAGTTGTTGTCCCCATGGAAACATAAGGTTAAAGCACTTAACGTTTAATTCACCCCAGGAGGAAATGGTTGTAACATGCACAAGCAAACGCGCACACACATGCTTGGAGGCTGTCGATAAAAATGGAGCCACATGTCCACTTCACTAAACACTTCCTATTGAAATGGGAGATCAAACTGTTCCTGAATCCTCACAGCAGGTATTCAAAGACACCGACAGGGCATCAAACACACATCACACACCATGTTGTATTTCGTATTTTGAGGATCAAAGTCCATTTTCAACCACACTGGCTGGATTTCTGAAACTCTGCTGTTCTTGTTTGCACTCAGTAAAATGGTTGTCAGGTTTGCTTTTGCTGCATTCACTGCGATCTACTCTGTAGACTTTCTGTTTTTTGCAAGTTGTGCATTTTGTTTCCTTAACTCTGTCAATGGTGTCTTAATCAGGGCTCCCCTCCTGATTCCGAAACATTTTAAGAGAAAACACACCAAAGCTGACCAGTCACAGTAGACTACTTGTTAATCATTCATTTATGTGATTTCCACCAGTTTTGACTGTGCAACCTCATCTTTGCCACCTAAGGCACAGTCAGGATGTTAACATGCAGTTAGAAAAAGTTGATTTACAGTATCTTTGTGTTTTGACTGTTGTAAATGACATTCAGAGGTTGAAGGTACATTTGAAAAAAAATCTGGTAGACAATATCTTTATATTCAAGTACAGGCAGCAGCAGTTGAGACTATTTTTGATAACAGTAATTTAACGATACACTATGTCTAAAATACGACCTAATTTATCTACAGTGGACTTTATGTGTGTTTTAAAGGAGAGTGCTGGATCAATCCAGAGGCCAGGGTACTTAAAGGAGGACACATGTTCAAGGGGTGGTCCATCCTTTAAATAAATAGAAAATAAATGAAGTTTAGTGACTCGCGAGGCTAATTCTGTTCCCAAACAGCAAACAACATGACTTTATCATGTTAAGAAGTAGTTTAGAAGAGAACCACATCTGTGCTAGGGAAAAACTAATATTTTAAAGAACTCTCAATGACAGATCTGTTATTCCCAGATGTATAAATTACTATGTCATCAGCATACAAATGACTTTGACACTCATAGAAGACATTAGGAAGGTCATAAATAAATAAATAAATATGATAAATATAGAGAAAATGAGAGGGCCCAAGGATGAGCCTTGCGGTATGCCCTTCTCAACTATGCATTTGCTTGGACAGTCCCAAACACAGTTAAGAAATGACAGGATTAGATACAGATGTGTAGGCAGTCTATGCTTTAAATGATACAAGCTGTTTTTGGTACCCTATCAGATCTCTGTTCTCTTTCTTGTTGTCTACATCTTTACTTTTGCAATGGATGTTAAGGGATTATGTTTTCCCTTCCTCAGATCTGACTCCAGACAGGCTGGGTCCTCCTTCTCATGATGCCAGTCCTGTGAGTCCTGAACCAACAACACCTGGAGCTCAGTCTCCATCCCACCTCCAGTACCATAGTAAGGCCCAGCACAGACGTTTCTCTATGGAGGTAAGAAGCAAAGGCTCATAGCAGCTGTACAGTATGGGGACACAGGTTAATACTGCAGATCAATGATTAAATGGGACTGAGTTCACTTTGATTTCTGGTCAGGCTGTAATCAAATGCTGCAAAGCTCTTCTTCCTCAGTACTTACAGGGTTGCAGATAAAGCACTGATGGAAAACTGGCAAGGTTCAAGTGCACATTACAGCATGAGAAGTCGGTCTGACATCAGAATTAACAATGCATATGTCATTTGTCCTAGTGCTTAAACTCTTTCCCCAGGAGTCATGTCTTTGTTCCCACCTCTGCCAGCTCAATAAGATGAGTCACCTCTGAAAGCTTTTAACCCTCCCCGAAGCAACAGACTTTTTATTGGAAAAGTGAGAGAGTTCGCAGTCCCACCTTTTCAGAAAAGTCCCTCTGGAGCAAATGTGATTCACTTCGAATCTCTCTCATACTCATACCAGACAGCAAAGTGAAATTATGCCTGAGGGAAGTTAGTGTTCCGGTACAATTCTATGAAGGAATGATGCAAGGGCTTGGAGCAAAGACAGTTTAAAAACATAAGCTATTTTATAGAAAACGTAAGATACTAAAGGCTGTGTTGTAAAATGTATAATATGCAACATTTAAAACATAAGTCAACTTAACTTAAGTCAAACTCCTTCATGGTTTCTTATTCTCAGCTCTCTTCACACTGAATAGTTCCATTTTTTATGGTTGCAAATATCCCCCATTTTTTAGCCAGATGTTTTTCTAATTCATAAAAAGTTACCATTCAACAGTTCTGTCAGAAAAAGATGATTGGGTTAACTTAATAGTATTCACATTCTCAGACTTCCTATTGAATGAAAGAGCGACTTATTAATTAAAATCTTTATTGACTTTATTGACATTCAGTGCCCACCCAGGTTACAGCCATGCTAATTCAACCATTAAGAACATTTATGGTAGGCTTTACAATGAACTATTTCTCTCCAATTCAAATTCAAGTCACATTATTTAAAACATTAACATTTTGCTCAGCTTCATTTAAAATGCAAATTTGTATGTGCACATTCCAATATCATTTTGTTAGACTGAAAACTACTTGGGCTGATGAAACTTAAGCTGTTTCATTGTAATGTATTAAAAGTTTTTAAACATGGAGGATTATCAGGCAGATGGTTGTGCACTGCTGGATCTCGTCATACACATGGTCACACGTACTGACCTTTCACAACAACTTCCAGCAGCGTGTACAGTCTACTCTACACGGTGAATGTTTCATTCTTTCTCTTGCCCCCTACAGTGTGACACAGACACTCTGCTATCAATCAAACCCAGACACCAAAATGTCCAACTAAAAAAGGAAACCAAGCATTGGAGAGACTTACAGACTTTTGTCTGTTTTTGTTGATGACAGCAGAATCCTGAGAAAAATGGAAAAAGCAGCTTGTTAGCAGAGCTGCACAGCCAAGTCATATCCACAGGATGCATTCAGGCAAAACATACAGACCTGAAAAAAGGAAATTGTTGAGCAGCATTTCTTCTTATTTCTTTTTCTCTCAGAGATGGATGACTAAACAAACTATGTTAATAAGTCTTGAAAACATATTTTTAGCACACATGAAGCTAATTATATTCCCCTAGTTGTCTGTATTTGGCAAGTACACTGGTTTCTTTTTCATTGATACAACTGGAACTTTTTGAGAGCAGTTTCCACTCAATTTAATTGCATTTCTAACTAATTTATCATCAATCAATACAAACCTTATATAGTTTTTTCCGACTATGTTTGAAGATAAAGATGAAGGCATTTGCATTTGACCAAAATAAAAAATGAGCAGAAGAGCAAATCAGTAGCAGTCAGGGTCTAATGTAATGGAGGATGTATGTCATGAAGCTTGAAAGGTTGTTAATATTCATATTTTACTTTTACTAAACTCTTTATCCAAAAAAGACAGACTGATGTGAATATGTTGTGAAACTTGGCGTCTGTTGTTTTCTTTCAGGACGTGAGTAAGCGAATGTCTCTTCCCATGGACATCCGTCTGCCTCCAGAGTTTCTCAAGAAGCTTCAGCTGGAGAGTGAAAACTCTCTGCCCTGCAAACCTCTCAGTCGCATGTCTCGCCGTGCTTCACTGGTTAGTGCTCTATTGTTCTTCATACAATACAGTATTCAGCCAACCTGGACCTTTTCCAGTTTTCCAGTTTTCCAGTGCTCAAACTGACATGGAATATTTTTTTTCTTTTTGACCTTTTATTGACTTTGACAAATCAAAGAAGTCCAAAAGGCAAAAAAACTTGTGTATCTGTTGGACGTTTTCACCCCAGGGCAATTGGCAATTGGTCACATCCACATGACTGTCAAAAAAGCATTTTTTAAACTTTACGCGCTATGCATAGTTAGGCACGTAGCTGACATGATTGACAGGTGGGCGCAATGCAAGAGGCTTAAACCCCGCCTCAGCTCCCAGTTCTCAGCCTGTCGTTAGGTTGACTGAAAGTTAGACTGACACGGGATTTCCATCATGGCGGCTTCTTCCATTAATATTAACAGTCTATGGTTGTGACGTATTTCCTACTGAACAACATAGAACTAATAGAACCAATCATAAGATAGGATGCAGGTCATAACATCAGGATGAATTTGATTGGATCGTAAGCTTCAACAAAGCTTTTGAATTGGTCAAGTAAACACCCCTGAGGACGTTTGAAACGTTTTGCAGGAAGAGAAAATACCGTTAATTTGACGTGAAAATACTCAGATAAATGCTTCATTGAAAAATATTTAGCAGATAATGACAGATGAATGAACACTTAACACATGAACACTGGATTAAAGCCGGGAAAATGTGTTTTATATTTCATGGGGTATTGAAGCCATGATATATAAACCCACTTTGATTTGCAGTAGTAACACATGACGAATCTAATTCATTGTGTTTCATAAGATTTAACAATTGTTGTTATCCTATGTAGACTGCTGAAGAGCTTATGATCATCCAACCACCGTAAAAATCTTATTATAGCAACCACATTGGCCTCTTGTTTGTTTTATCCATCCACCCAATGATTAGTCTAACAACAACACGACATATCAGCTCATATTACAGAGCACATTTCCTCTCTGCAGATTATTAGTCCTCTTATCTTGCCTTCCTTTGATTGAATTTGTACTTTCTGTATTAATATAAGCAATTAGAGGTATTTATATCCTGTTATGTTTATGGGGCAGACAAGGATTTGTTCAATAAGCTTAAGAAAACATGACTTAGCGAAACATATGTAAGCGAATATTATCATTTCGACTGTTATTAAGTATGATAGAACAAAAACACATCAGTCAACTGTGAACACTAATGCTGTCTTTTTTTTTTGCTTCTAGTCCGACATAGGCTTTGGGAAACTGGAGACATACGTGAAGCTTGGCAAACTGGGGGAGGTACGTCACTACCAATGACTCACTCACTCACCTTTTAACAATTTTCAGATGGTTAATGGAATCGGCTGACACATGGTCCAGTGAGAGATGAGTGTACAACTCCTACACCCACTCGGTTGATGCAAGCGAAAGATGAAAGCGGCATGTCTCTTGTGTTTTATGTTAACCACATTAATGTTATTGGTGAGTCTTCGTTAAACTTATCAGGCCCTGCTGCGAGTGATACTCAGGGGACACCAGCCTGTCAAGACGGGAACAACACACACCGCTTTGTTTACAGTTCTAAACAAGACAAAGTATGGTGTCCCTGTTTGTCCATTTTCACGCATTAGCATGTTCTGTCGCAGTTTAATCAACATTAACAGTCCTCATTCGGCACTCACACTGCGTCCTCCCTCAAACATGTTGTGCTCTGTAATAATATAATCCGCGGTTGTGCTTTGAATGAGGAGTGCACGACACAGCCACTCAAATATCTCACCGTTTATATGAGAACAGTTATTGCCTTAAGAAATGAGGAATGATTTGTGGCAGAAGCTGTCTGCCTTAGTCTCAGTCACAAGGCTCAGCAGCAGATAACAGCGGTGGTGAGGGACTTAAAAGAGCTGCTTTTGTAGTCAATTATCATAACCTCTGCTTCACAAAGGTTTGCTTTATAAACAGTTCAGATCACTGGGATCTTCACATGTAGGTATTAATAAAGCAGCTCCTGTAATTTTCTCAATATCAAGCAGGATTTTCCATCTTTTCAGAAGTGTATTTAGAGTTATCAAACACAGACGTAATGGTGGAAGAACTGTCATCATTTTAAAGCCAGGATAATAAATATAATCGTGACTGAGTAAGATAAGCTGGGATAGTCGGTTTTCAGAAATCCTATGTTAATAAGTTTAAAAAAAATACATGTTCTTTAAGGCTTTCAACGTTATCAGTTTATATTAATACGGTAAAGGTCTGTAAATTAATGCATGCTATTTTGTCCCTTTAGGAGCACCGTAGTTAAGGCAACCGCTGACTGCAGCTTCTCTCTGTAGGCACAGAGATGGACAAAAACAACACCTCTGTGTCTTTGAATGGCTTATTTAATTTTTACAAACTCCCAGATTGCTCAGTTGACGATTTAAAAGTAACCATACACTTCTTTAATATAAAAGTAAATCAAAATAAAAGCCGGTTTGTGGTCAACCAGGAAGTCAAGTACCTGAAGACAGTTCAAAAATACCAAAGAAAGTGTAACACAAACGTTTTTGAAAAGCAAATTAATGGAATTTGAAATGTTTTAAAAAATGTAATTAATTGCAATCAAATATTGCATGTAAGCGTTAATTCACAATTTAAAAATGTAATCGCTGACAGCCCTAGTGCTTGATAAATGTTTTTGACAAAAGCCAGCTAAATACTTCTGCATTAAGTTGGTATAATGTTGTGATGCTGCTCATTGATGTTAGCGGTTTAACCTGACATAAATTATCTGTTAATAAATGTATGTGTATGGTAGATGATCAAAAAGCAAAAAAAGTAAAGTCAATTGAAGTCACTTAATTCATATGACAGGAGGTTAACCGAAGTGATTCTCAGTAGACACAGGAATGAAAGAACAACGTGCAGGATAAGATTTAAATGAAACGGATTGAAAACAAAGTGAAATGCGTTTGTTTGTGTTCATAGGGAACTTATGCCACAGTGTTTAAAGGACGAAGCAAGCTAACAGAGAACCTGGTGGCGCTAAAGGAAATTCGACTCGAGCATGAAGAAGGAGCACCCTGCACTGCTATCAGAGAAGGTATCAGCAAACACACACACACACACACGCGCGCACACACAGAAACACACAGTTACACACACATGAGCACACAGCCACACACGAGCACACACACACATTTCAAGGTTTTTGCCTCGAGAGGATGATCATTCTATTTTTGCCAAAAATAGAATTATCCATCCTTTTGGGGAAGCCATCAGAGAAGGTAGTGACTGGAGCACAGTTTACCCGTTATACGCATCATATAGCTTCAAATACATTTACACAGAGAGACTGTCACGGTGTCACTCAGAATCTTAATAAGACATATTGTGAGCTCGCCAACATACTCTATACTCAGGGGATTCAAAAGGTCAACACATAATCATGCTTCATGTTCATTCACAAAGTGGTCGTATAAGAGCATTGGTCTACGTTTTTAAATGTCTTCGCTTCATTTTAGATTTTGTTAACTGCTGAGGAAATAATTCAGAAATACTGTGCAGAGTTTGTTTTATCAATTATGGACTGCTTGCATTTTTGATTATGACAAGAAATCTAATAGAAGACTGCAATTCAAAAAATTCAAAGAGCCACTTGTGATGCCCTTCCCCCAGTGGTTTGTCCCCATCTCACTATTTCAGAGCCAGACGAAGAGTCACAAAATTTGAAAGAGGGGGGTGGCTGTGGAGAGGAGAGAGGGGTTAGCAAACATTTACTCAGCCACTGAAGCTAGCTTTGTTAGCCAGGGGGATCTGTAATTCACTTAAACTGATAGGGATGCTTATTTTGACTTGTAAATATAAAGCCATGAAACAAAATGTATATTTCATTAAAAAGAACAGCTGACTCATGAGTCTTTTGGTACTCTGAACAAATACTTTTTAGGTAATGTCCATACTCTGCTTTATTGTATATTTTCATTTTCAATGGGTGCGTATACCAACTGAGACCAGAAACTCATTTTTAAAAGGTTGGTTTCTGTATGTAGTAAATAAACTTCTTTACAATTGTACTTCTTTTTGCAATCTGTGACGTCGCCCCCTGCTGGTTGTCAGCTTCTGAGGCCAAAGAGGAACAAAGCTAAAACCCTTTCTCATCTTTAAAGTGTAGTCATCTTTTGTCAGAGAGGCAGCAGCTTCTAGAGAAGGTTCTGCTGTTTCCCTTTACCTCCCGTTCTTCCGTCCATCAGTGTCTCTACTGAAGAACCTGAAACACGCCAACATCGTCACGCTGCACGACATCATCCACACCGAACGCTGCCTCACTCTGGTGTTTGAGTATCTTGTGAGTACCTCTGCAGTTCAGCCTTCAGGTGTTGATCTCAAACAGACGTATTAAATATGGGCAGATTTGAGTGTGAAGACTGTGTGTGTCGTCTCTTTCAGGACAGTGACCTTAAACAGTACTTGGACAACTGCGGGAATCTCATGAGCATGCAAAATGTCAAGGTGAGCCTCAGGCATGGGAAAAAAAACTCATCAAACACTTCTGACTGTAGGCTAAAGCGAGCTGCTTTGTGAAGACGTTAAATAAACTAATTTCACACATCAGTTAAGTTTTATTTTAGTTCCAATTTAGTTTCATTTTGTAATAAGCTTTTATATCACACAAACACAGCTAAGGAGTTTAGACTGCTGCTGGGGCATCTTATAGAAGAACATAAAATCAGTTTATACGCACACGATACTCAGGTTTACCTCAACTGTGACTTCAATAAATACAATGTTTAATTTCTGCGGCTGTGGCTCAGTTGGTAGAGTAGTCAGAAGATTAGAAAAGTGCCATACAAGCTAAAGTCCATTAACCATTTACAATGACTTGAGGACATCCAATAATGTTTTGTTTAAAATTTCCTTCAGCTTAACTCAAAAAAACACTGAGATGAGATATGCCCAATTTAAAAAAAACAAAACCTTGGCTGTTATTTCCATCTAATTTTTAACTCAGAGACCTTTGGGAATGTTGGCTGTTTGTGTACAAACCTTGAGCCATACAGTCTTTTATTAGTTACTATAATATGCATAAACTTCTGTTTGTATTGGATCCACTTTAACTCTTGTCTTTAGATATTATTGGCCACTTCTGCCATTTTGTGTTTGCGATGTTTTCATCTACTCTGTGTATTAATATAGTTTTCTCTATTGTTACTGTTTTGTCAATTATGATGTCATGTTGTACATTTATTTTCTGTTAGTATGATATATATAATATATAATATCGCAATAACCTTTTTCTGTCTGTAGCAAGAGGTCCAATCCTTTTCTATTCTATTTTAACATAGAAAACAAGTAAACATTATACATATCCTTCACTCTCTGCACTGGCTGCCTTTTAATGTTTTTGTGTATTTTTACCCTCTGCAATATTTTGACTTTAAATCTCCTGATGGGATTTGGCTCAAGCTTTATTTCTTAAGTTTAAACTCCAAATGTGTCGTCATGGGTCCTACAGCCCTCAAACCATTTCTCAATCCTCTCCTACAGTCCAAACTAAAAAGAAAACAAAAGTGATGGAGCAGTTTCCTTGTTTTCTTTCAATTCAATATTCCAAGAATATGGTTTACAACAAGAGAAATGGTCGTGCAGTAAGATAGAGCATGGAGGGTCTGCCGTGAGTGGTGTCTGCAACAAATGAAGCCTTTCAATACTTTCCTTCTTAAAATCCTATTTTGTTAGAGCATTTTCTATCAAAAACCAGCTTGCAGAGGAGTTTTGACATAGTAGGATGAATCCTTGTGATTGCAACACACATGATACACACACTCAAACACACTCTGCAGATACACGTTGACACTTTACACCGCACACTTATATATCCTTTTGCTACATTTTAAATATTTTTAATCTTATATTTCTGCATTTTAATGTATTTTACTGTAATGTTTGAGTCTTTTTATTGCATGACCTTGGGGAAAAGTCGTTTCACTGCATTTCTGTATGAGAATATGACAAATTAAAAATCTTGAATTTTGATTTTATACATACTTTCAGAGCGGCACTGTGTTTATAATACCATTTTATTTTTACCTTTTTATCCTTTGATAAGTTGTTTTTTACTTTATCTTTTAACCCGTTGTCCATGATAATCCTATAAACAAACGTATAGTTTTTGATCATCATCGTTTCTTTTTCTCCAACAGATCTTCATGTTCCAGTTGATGCGAGGCCTTTCTTACTGTCACAAGAGGAAAATCCTGCACAGAGACCTTAAGCCTCAGAACCTGCTCATCAACGACAAGGGGGAGCTAAAGCTGGCTGACTTTGGTATGAAAAACATCACAGTTACATGCAGAACATACATACATCAACATGCAAATGTGTTCATAAAGACACCGACACTTAGGGATTAGATAGCATGTTTGCTGCTACTGTTGCTTTCCAATTATATTTTAGTGCCATTTGGAGATCTTCTCTGCTGATTACTTTAACACCCTTATTTCCTGTATCCTAGCAACTGTGCCCCTCTGTCTGACTTTTCTCAGTTTTTTATGCTGAAGTGGGGAAATATGCCCGACGGTATTCCCTGACTATTTTTGATCTGTTTCCACGTGACCTAGACACAGGTACTGAATTAATGAGAGGACTATTCCAACCTTGTCCTTCAATGACACGTTATGAAGACAGTATTTTCATGTGAGGATCAAGAAACTGGAGGTGTTACTGATCACATGTACAAGTGTCTGAATCCCTTACAAGGTTTATGTGAGACTTAATGCATCATGTTGTTTCATTATCCTCTGGAGACACAAATCCTTCTCCTTTTGAAGCAATTTTTCAGGTGGTACAAAAACAAAACAAAAGATTGCATATTTCAACACAATGAAAGCTTGAAGAGGGCCTTTCCAAAGACGTTACAGACCCTCATTGTTGAACTCTGATCTTGTTGTGTTGTCCAGGTCTAGCGAGGGCCAAATCCGTCCCCACTAAGACTTACTCCAATGAGGTGGTAACTCTATGGTATCGGCCACCTGATGTGCTGCTCGGCTCAACAGAATACTCCACACCCATTGACATGTGGTGAGTTATACAATATCGATTTGTCCGTATTGGTACATGCTCTGCATTGCCACATTGATCATCTGCTTATTATGATTTACCAGGCCTACTACACATCGAAATGTCCAAATTGTCTCGATATGTGGATCATGCGCATGCTCCCCTGGTTTTTGTACTGTACCTGCGTAAACTGTGCTATCATTCATTCATACTGAACAGCATGCATGCTGCTTTACAGTTAGTGTGAGTCATTCAGTGTGTTGAGTTACTTCGAGGCGGACATCAGGTAGGTGCTCAGACAGATACTGTTCATACTGACATTGATGTGCTTTAGATAGATAGATAGATAGATAGATACTTTATTGATCCCGAGGGAAATTCAAAGCATCCAGTAGCAGGTCACAAAGACGTACATGACATGAAACATTTGTTACAAATATAACCACAAAACCAACGCCCCCCCCCCATACGTATATATTAACCTGAAAAAAAAGATTTAAAGAACACCCCTAGATGAATCAAACTTAAACCTATGCAATTAAAAAATAGACTTATACAAGAAATGTACATAACCCATGCAGGGATAAAAAATATATGTGGGGCACATACTATTGGGCAAGTGAAGATGTCAGTCAGAGGGTTAGGAAAGAGTTCTTCCAGACCATGTGAGTAGAATTAAATATAAGCTTTAAAAGACATATAAAATAATTCAATAAAAAGGCCAGAGTGAGCAGAAAAAAATATGTATAAGAAATATATAGAAACATACAAAGGCCACTATATACTTCTGTTTGTGCGTTTCCATTTATCTAAAAGTCCTACAGCCTGTTGTAAGAAGCTGCTCCTCAGTACCTTAGACCTGAGGGCAGCAGGGAAAACAGGCTTTTGTGTAGGTGTGTTGAGTCGTTGATGACCCTCAGGGCTCAGGCTCACACGCACACCAAACTCTCCAGTGCCTCTCAGATCATGCTGGTGTAGCTGCCGTACCAGGTGGTAAAGCAGCCTGTCAGGAAGTTATCTACGCCCCAGTAGATCCTGCCTCAGGCCACATTTCATTCGGCGCCTAAGGCCATACAGTCTTCTTGGGCCGTTTTACCAACCACAGTGGTTTGGCTGGCCAATATCAGGTTCTTGGGACTTTTCAATCCTGGATATTTTTCACTGCTGTCCTGTCCTGGCACCATTGTTCCAGGGTGCTCACCTCATCTATGTAGGCCGTGTTGTTGTTCACTCTCACCACCTTACCAAGTGGTCTGTGAGGAAGTCCAGAGTCTAATCACACAGTCTTGTTTCCAGTCCCAGATTCCTGAGTTATTGCATTGAATGCTGAGTTGTTGGTTTGTTTTGAGACATAATTTTGAATATCCCATAAAATAGAGTTGCAAAGTTGCTTTTCTAGGCAAACAGTGTGTCTATTTGAATACTTGCAAAACTCAGCTTTTTTAAAATTTCAGCTCAAGCCCTCTAATTCCCACAGGCCTTCTGGAGACTCTAAACCTGGATGAAGATAAATGATTTTCCTTTTTCTTTTACTGGGGTTGTCTTAAAGGTCACATATTATCTTCCTTCTAACAAGTTTAAATACCATTCAGAGCTCCAAGTACTGTGACATTTCTTGCTAAAAATCCACTCTGATCCTGGAATTTAATCATGCCTATAAACCGCTTATATCTAAAGCTTTGAAATTCAAATGAGCTGTGTGTGACCATGACCACACCCCTCTCTGGAAGGGTCTCTTTTGCACCATCATGCAAAATTGTATTAAGGTGATAAGGTAGACTCAGAGGACAAGACAAACACCTAGCTGTGGGAGTGTCACTCACCCGGGGGAGGGGTTATTTCCCTTTGTGACATCAAAAAAAAAACTCTTCAAACGGCCGGTTTGAGCACACATTTTCGGTAAAGTGGAGCAGGCAAAAGATGGAGAGGACTTTTCTCATAATTGGGAGCTCTGTAGACAGTCTAGGGACACATATTATTGGAAAAAAGAAAACATGGTAAAGTGTATTTTGCATAATATGTGAGCTGTCTCTAAACTGACTGCACAAACTGAGCTTTGCGTGTTTACACAGCAATTAGACAAATGTCTAACAGCCTGAGGATGGTCCTGGACTTCAGTGAATCATGAATATCAATTCAGCTCTCCCAGGTTAATTGTAGAGATGAGTCACTATAGCCATACCATGGAGCGTAATTCATCTGCATGCACTTTCCCTATGTGTGCTTGTGCTCATTATCAGTTTGCCATGGTGAGAACACCCGCTTAGAGGTGCTAAACCTCCGAGGAATGAATGTGGTGCAACATTCTTTTATAAGCTCACCTAGCTACACGTCCTCTCATCAAAAGAGGGCTGCACTGTGCCCACTCACAACACAAGTGTTTGCACTGATCTGCTCTCTTTGAAATGTGTGCTTTTGTTGAACTCATCGGGGGTTCTTTCATGTTTGATAAACCTTTAGTCTTTGCACATCTCCATCTTCTCTTGTTTTAGGGGCGTGGGCTGTATCCTGTATGAGATGGCCACAGGTCGTCCCATGTTTCCTGGAGCCACAGTGAAGGAGGAGCTACACTTAATTTTTAGACTCATGGGTAATTTGGCTTCATGATATCCTACAAGCTGGAAAAATACTAAAAATCAAGTAAAACATGCAGTTAAAACAAGGTGTGTGACCGCAGACATCCACATATCTTTGTTTCTTTGTTTTCCAGGAACGCCAACAGAGGAGAGTTGGCCGGGTATCAGCAACAACGAGGAGTTTAAGACTTATCTCTTTCCACAATACAAACCTCAAGGACTCCTCAACCATGTGCCCAGGTAACACTAATACAGTCATATGTCTGTTCATGTATGTGTATGTGTGTGTGTGTGTGTGTGTGTGGGGGGGGGGTCCACATGTCAGATTTTTTGTAGAACAGTAAAGATAGAAGGACAGATAAGACATATTCTGTGAACCACAACCAATCCCCTGTTAAGGGGGGGAGAAAAAAATATGCAAAAAAATATGCATGTAAAGCACAAACTGCAATATTTGTACTTTACTGCTGACATGAGCTCAGTTTACCTCGGTAGAAAACTTAACAGGCCTTAACACAAACTCCAACAGTTAAGAAATGGGATTATAAGATTATGTTGCTAAAACTAACTAAATGATTATTTATGCCAAAAAGGATTTCACAACAGATCCTGTCGACCTTTACAGCCGGATTGTTGGATTTTTTTTTTTTATAAGGTTTATTTTTGGGCTTTTCATGCCTTAATTTGGGAGGTAGGACAGAGCCGGAAATCAGGGAGGGAGAGGGTGAGGGAACAACATGTGGGAAAGGGGCCGTATTCGAACCTGTGCCACCAGCGCCCTCTGTTGGAAGTTATACGCCGCTAGGTTTACTTGTATGTGATAGATATTTCTTAGGGACATCCAGAAACAAGCTTATTAGTCTCAGGATACTGAGAAGAAGAAGTCAAGTTCATATCTTAAAAAAATATAATTCTGGTAGTACACTTGCCTTAGTGGAGATTAAGTTCATTTTGCTCTGGGAATCTCCTGAATCATGAGAACAAAAACTGAACTTCTCTCTTTGCCTCGGTCAGGTTGGACTTGGACGGGATTGACCTGCTGTCTGCTCTGCTGCTGGTATGAGATAAAAGTCAAATGACACTTACTCACTTGGATATAAGACAGAACTGAACAGTGACTCCAGCGATGGTCTAATCAGCTGCGTTTGTCTCCTGATTTCAGTACGACACCCGGGGAAGAACCACTTCTGAAGCCGCTCTACAACACCCCTACTTCCTGAGTCTGGGGAATAATATACAGAATTTGGCAGACAGTAAGACACACACACACACACACACACACACACACACACACACACACACACACACACACGCTGTGATCACAACTTTAGATTCACACCATTAGTAGCTCTTAAATTAAATCATGTGTTTTTGGTTAATCCACTCATTCTGACAAGAGAAACTGCACAAAAAGTACCAATACTAGCACAAAAGAAAAGGTTTAAAAGTGAAGCTGTGTTCAACTTAAATATTGCTCCAGCCAAAGCAATCTTTCAAACATTTCATGAAGTCTTTGAGGTGTTTTAAAGGTCCTCTTGAGCTGCATGTCACCTTTTAGTTCAACGGTGTGTTTTCACCCATTACAACACTTTCTGTCCACTTTATAAAACTAACAGCCTTGAAGGAATCAGAAGGAAGCAACATCTCTTTCCTAAGGCATTTTGCATGTCTTTGCAGTGAAAGTCCCGATATAACTTCTTACATTAGTGATGGCATTACGTTGATGTGCAACAGTATAACAAGGTCTAATTGGTGTTTTGAGGCTTGCTAAAAAACGAGAAACTAAAGCTTTACAGTACCTCTATTTTAGGTCTGCATGTTCTGCAATGACTCAGCGAAGGCTTAACTGACTGCAAAAACCAGTCTATACCTTTTTTTTTTTTTAAAGTTTCTAATATATACTGTCATTAAAGTGAAACCTGTAAGGGATCATTTACAAGGAGCAGGTTTTTGTAGCAGAATGGAACCATGACAGGCTAAGCTTAGACCCTGACGTGAATCTGAAGGGTCTTGTCTCACCATGCTGTTTGTAATTGGTCAATTAGAGCACGACTGTGTAATACCGTCAGATGAACTGAATCTTTTTCTTGTTACCTGGTTGTCCTGTTGACCTTGTAGATTTAAGAAAGTTATTCTTGAACCTTGGTATTCATTACCTGAAGACCAGTTCTGATATAACCGCCTAAATGGACAAATCTTTTGTTTCAAACTTCATATTGGCAACCCCATTTATGCTTCTGTCTTTGAAGTGTGCATGTCGAGCTATAGCCTCAAGTCTGTAATTACCATTTGAAAGTACAGGTGCAGTAGACATGTCACAGTTTTTCCTGAGTCATTCTCTCTCTCTCTCTCTCTCTCTCTCTCTCTCTCTCTCTCTCTCCTTTTTGTTTTAGCTGCGTCAGTGTTTTCTCTCAGAGAGTTGCAGCTCCAGAAAGACCCCGGCCATCGCAGCTCAGTGTTTCAGCCTTTAAGTAAGTATCCTGTGTTGATACAATCTCTGTCGGTATGACTTTTCTATTTGCTTTGTTGTTCATTTGATGTCATGGACATGGACATCTGTTATATTATTCTGCATCTGACCATAATTTGTGTTTATCTTAAAACCTGTTCATGAGAATGTGGTATACCAAAAGCAACTCCTCTGTATATCCTGTGCATTTACATTACTTTTCCATTTACTCTCATGCTCTATATGTTTCAATAAAACATTCTCTGAAATATAAAAAAAAATGAAAGGAAATGATGCTCTTCATTAATTCTTACCAGAGGGATCCTCATGCTTTAAATTTCTTGAACTGTCAGACACCATTGGAATTAAATTTAGCTGTGGTTTGTTCCTGACTACAGAATCCAAAAAGTGGCAACAAATCTAATTAGTTCAGCTCTACAATAGACAGCACGTTGATTTACTCATTAAAAAGATATCTCATAGAAACTCCAGAGGAACTAAGAGGAAAATAAAATATAAATTAACAAAGTGCTGTCCACTCATTAAACAGTTTACTGTCATCCTTATACTCTAATCAGCTCCAAATATACTTAACAAGTGTTAGTGTGACTAGTGAGGCTAATAAAAAGCTTAAGGACACATTCAGCTTCATAACTTTTTACTCATAGTAGTTCATTAGTGTCATCCAGCTGAAGAGTTTGGGGAAAGTGTTAAAAAGTAAAAGTAAGAGTCACTCTGCTGTTGTATCGCATACAATGACAATAAAGTGTCTTATCTTATCTCATCTTTAAATACAAGATAAGCATTTAAAGATAAGATCTAGGCTGGAGGTGGAGTTCATGGGTGGAGATATCATGGGAAAGGATTTGTTTTACCAGAATCCCACTGTGAGGTCACAAGTTGAGCCAATTTGAAACGGAACATTTTTCTCGGTGTTGTAAGACTTAAACAGACCACAAACAAAAGGACTGGATGGGTTTATTTCACATTTTGTGGGTCGGTGGTCACTCAGGTAACCCAAATATATGTTCAAAAACACTGTAAAAGTGGATTTTTCATAATATGTCCCCTTAAAGATAAGATAAGTCAAGATGTACTTTATTTTCCCCAGGGGGAAATGTGCCTTGGAATAAAAGATATGAGCATAAACAAAGAATTCTGTAAGTTCTGTCGGGAGGTCTGGCTGCTCCACTTTAGGACCAAGAGCAAGTATTCTGGTCTGAGCCGGTTCTGAGAAAAATTAAATTGTGAAACTAAGAAAGATGTTGAGGATGTGAAGGATTTTTTTCAAAAGAAATGATTCTCATGTTGAAGGTTAACGAGTAGATTTGGCGAGCCGAGAGTGTTTGGAGTTTTCACAAACCAGGGCTGTTCACTCGACAATCGCAAACTTATTATTCTTCTACCTTCATTTGTGTGTTCTCAGGAGGAAAGAACCGAAGACAAAGCATCTTCTAGAGCTCACAGAGGAGGAAGAGAGAGACACACAGAGAGAAGAAGAGGAGCTGCGTTTTTATGACCACAGCACTCACAAGGCCTACACGCACACACACACACACACACACGCACGTGCATGAACACACAAACTCATGTGCACTCACTCATTTCCAAGCCAGCTGACACACAGGGTTTACTGGAAATAATGTGCACTGCACTTGAAGTGACTGAGCTAAGATAGACACTCTCTTTGTCCACACACAGACAGTCATTTACATAAAGGTCCTTCTACTAACTGTTACTGCGTAGTTATCAAGGTCCTTATAAGTGATGACACATAGGACTTTAAAAGTGTTTATTATAGCATCATTAAAGAGTTTATGGCTAGATCGTATAATTGAATAATCAACCAAAACATATTAAAAGAGCAAGTAGATCATACTTAATGTGTATGTAATGCTATTATAAACAATAATAGAAACTAATGTTTTAGTAACATTATTTATTAGTCTATAACTTGTCAATAAGTTGGTAGTAGTGTCTATATTTTACAGTCTAACGATAAACATGTTTTTGATGCTATTCTTAATGCTTATTCACTCTTACGTATGTCTTACTGTATGCAGTAACATATAATTAGACATACATAAGAAAAAAAGGACACAACTTGTTTCAAGGACCTCACTTTGAAGTGTTACCCACATTTGCACACATTTGCACAATCAGCAACACCTAACATGCTGCCGTTACACACACACACACTTGAGGTTTATACGTTTTCTGCTGACACACACACACACACACACACACACGACTTAAACCCAAGATAAAATAGACCTCTAGGGGAAAAAAAAAACACTTCTTGGCTGTGTGACAGAAAAGCCTTTTCATATACACAAGCTTGTACAAATTTCTGTTCAGAGCACACCCAGCTCTTCAGCCGGCCGAGGTAGCTACCACATCTGAAACCATTACACAGGTGTACAGATGTAAGGGTTGAGGTGTCAGTTTAAATCAAAGTAAAGTATTTTTTTTAAATTCCCCAAATATAAACCCCGTCATTCCCTTAAAAAAAATCATGATAAGACACCAAAAAGGTTTCAAGGTATGCTCATACTTTATCCTTTATACCTGACCTCACTGTTAAGTTACGCTTATAAAGACAGATTTTATTCATCAGATTTTATCATTATGATAGACTACAAGTTACAACATTTTAACATAATGTGTCCAAAGATACTAGAACTTGTAGAACACCACAAGCAGTGGCGGAGCAAGACTATTTGGATGGATGACTGAAATGTGATGGATGCAAACCTACACAAATGAAAAGTGTTTATTTACCCACTGATCATACCACCTTTAACAACTAACATTCAAGTAAGACTTTATATTCACGGGTATCTTATTAACCTTAAAAAGTAAAAAAACAGTGACAATGTTTAAGTCTTCTAAAGTTAATTCTTTAAGGACCAGAGAAGAAGATGTATGTCCAAAGTAACAATTTAAAGTATGAAGAAAAATACATTTACCACACCTAAATGCAAAGCTCAGAGCAGCTGCTGCAACTCAGCACAACAAGTTTATCTACAAGTCACACCTCTAACAAGGCAAACAACTGATACTACAAGTACTGTACGGTTTTGGAGATGAGGCTGAAAAAAAGTGGTACTGGGTGTTGAATGCTAATAGACACTTGCTAAAAAGAATAGCCTTTGGTTGTGTATCTTTACAAAGAATAGATTTAAACTATCAAATGATTTGTTCCGCTGTACACTACCTTAAAAGCGAATTGAGTGGCATTAAAATGTCAGCTCATGCTACATATTAGCTCATGTGTAATGTTGGCTGATAATGGTTAGCTATAGTGGAATAATATGTCAGCTTGCTTATTAGCTAAATCTAATTTAAATAACTACATCTCTGTCACAAGTGTCCTCAAAGTTTTACACACACACAAGAAGCAGTTTGGAAATAGTAGCAACATTGATTTACGTTACCTCCGCTCACATGAACACTGAGCCTATCAAACATACTCGTGTCCACAGACTTGCCTTGCTACGGTGTTTCAACTCAGTGTGGGGTGTTGTTCCATACAGTGTTAAGAGCTGACTTTCACTCCAGTTTTTGAAGTTGCCTTAGTAAAATGTGCATGATATCTTGGCTTGTTAAGACTCTATATTTGATCTAGTGTAGCCAATGTGTTTGGAGGCATTTGCTTTGTGTGCGTAATAACTCTCAGTATGTGATTTTAATCGTCTCCTATATTGCACAAACCAGAAGTGTCCTCTGAAGCCTGCTCCCTTCCCTTTGTGTCTTATACCTTACGTGGCTCTGATCATAACACAGTATCAAACCAAATCCCCTCGAGCCTTGAGCAGTTAACTTGGGAAGTATGCTCAACAAGTACTTTCTATTGTAGCAAATTACTCTCAGTAGGACTCACCACTTCTGTTTATATTTAGCACAGCTCTAATACACCTACTGCAGTGTGTGAAAGAACACACTGTAAAACTGACTCACAAACTGTACATATCTGCAGAAGCCAAACTTTCAAACAGTTTTCATCGAACGACCCTCACAGTTCCTTTGTGATCAGCGCCGAGTCCAAAGAGTATTCATCTAGAAGATGAAATCATTAGCAGACATTTGGCCTGTGTTGCTAAGATACACTTTTATTCCTCTCTCCTTAATATGTCCCGACTCCCTCTTTATCTCCGACCTCCTTCTCCAGTACAACTGAAGGATCCACGTGTAAACCAATGAGAAAGGGTTGAGTTGTCATAATAACTGGTGGGATGTGATTTAAGTTCATATAGTGCAATATAAAAGAGCTTCCTTAAAGCCGTCATTCTTCCAGTCACTAACATGGTACTGTGCTTTAAGATAAGCAAATGTTTAGAAAAAGAGTTGTAAGGATGCATGTACATTCACATGTCCATCATACATAAGATAAACGGGGGACTGGTCGTTGACTGTTTTTATTGCATATAATCAGGAGGGTTTGCCTTTGTCATCCAGATCATGCAATATTCAAAAGTCAAAGGCAACTGGACTTCTCATGGCTTTGTTTCATTTTTACATTTTTACCTTCACCTGAGAGGAGTACTTGGTTCTGAGGTGTTCAGTCATTAACAATGAAACAGCATTAATCAGATAACTTAAGTGTTCATAAACAGTGGCGTTTCTAAAGTCTGTGGGGGCCCAAGGTAGAAATTCACAAGGGGCCCCTAACCATCATTATGTTATCAATAATCTGAACAGCAAAATACAAAATGTCAACGTTTAGTTTTAGTTCAGGACTAAAGAGCAACTTGACAGGTTATAAGATGTTTAATACCGTAAATACTTACTCACATTCTTCAGCTAACAAGTCAACGACTGCTCTCTTAATTCATGTTAAATTAATAGAACAAATGCCAAACTGTAATGCTTGCAGAAGATATGTCATTCAAGTGTCTCTTCCCCACAGATAAGGCTACACACACGCTCATTTATTTTTATATTAATGGTAATGTGTGACAGACTCAGAGACGCACACAGAGAATTCCTCTTCATTTTACTTTTAAACAAACTTGTTTTTCTGATGAATAATGCATGCCATGCTTAGCAGCGCAACAATAGTGAGTGCTGTCAGATGGGGCCGCCTTAGGGAGATTTCCTACTGTCATTGCAAACTTTGCACATTTTGAGACACTGCTGGGGTTTAAAGTTTTATCAGCCCTTAGGGGCCCCCTATACTGGCCCGGGGCCCCAGGTAGTTGCCTGCGTTGCCTGTCGACAATCAGCGCCTTTGCTCATAAAGATCAGAAAACAGATTAGCCAGAAGAAAACAACACATGGTTAAAAGTTTTATGATACAGCCACCATAAAAGTTTCAACTTACAGCTACCAATCTTTTTTTACTTTTGTTTTTCTTTACAGCAGCCTTACATGCCCACTACAGCGTTAGTGAGCAATAGAAAGTCTTGTCTAGATCAGAGCCTTCAGTCAGCACTGAGGGATTTTTGTTGAAAGGCAACATTTCTAGAATAAATACTGAAAATCCACAGCAGTTGACTCTAAATATAACTTGTAGATCCGCTGCTGACTGAGACAGCGGACGCAGTACTTCTGTAGAACTGGTTCAAATATGAAAAAGTTAAATTACAAAGCTAGATATATTTAAGTTTATCTGTGCCTGGAAAATAAAGTATGTTAAATTAAATATGGGGAATTTAAAGACATTGAATAAAGATGTGTCTTTGAATAACTTTATATCACAATCCTCACAATGCTGATCACTCAATATCAGGAAGAGACAAACATCATATGTCACCGTCACCAACCTATATGTTACCTCGGACGTAGTGACACAAAACTGATGGTTTATGTAAACAAGAAAATAAGCCCTTTGGACATGCATTAATGAAGAGATGTCAGGGGGCTGCAGACGCCCAAGGCAGTTGTTGGTTTGTGCTTTGCTCAAAGGCATCTCGGTAGAGTCCCATGTCAATCCTTAAGTTGACGCCACTGTTTGTCATCGACTCAACCACGGACGTTTGGGTATTTCATATCACATGTATAAAATGACCAAACGTCAGTATCTGACAGCCTGGAAAGAGGACAAGTTGTGCTCCTTGGTTTGTCGACGTCTCGTCCTTCCCATCAGATTTGATCATATCATTTTCACAGACACATTAGGTGTCACCCTAAGGGTATTACATAACATTTAATTTGGCCATTAAAGCCGAAAGCATCATAGCACACACTGACAGCGTTTTAGTTTTTTTCTCAAAGGGGTGCTCCTATAAGTTTGAACATTCAGAAATGTGTTTGGAGTAGTTATAACAGGGTGGAGGACCCATGATCTAGATGATTGGATCCACAGAAGCGGGCAGTTCATCAGGAAAGATGCAAATAAATGACGCATGGAGACTGTTGAGGGATGGCAGGGGAATACGATACCCAGAGTTTGGTCCCCGTTAACAGAGTGTATGAGCCCCTTAAGTCACACATGATCCAATCAGAGGGATTTATGTTTGTGTATGGATGAGCAGTGACGGTGAAACATAAGTTGGACACTGATAGTTTTTCTACCTCTAGCAGAGAGTAAAGCTAATGGAAGAATGATGTGGTGAAATCCAACCCTGTTTTGACCTGAAACAAAGGTGAAGGCAACAAGGAGAGAAATTAAATTTCAACATGCTTGCACCTCAGAAGGAAGAATAAATGTGGATGTTACCCTCCCCCCCTTCTTTCCCTCAGTGGCACAATTATTACTGTGTGTGTTATAGTTGTGGTAAATTAAGCTATTTTAAATACTGTAATAAAAAAAAAAAGAAATAATATATGTATTTTAACAAATGTTTCCATTTTTCTCAGTGAGGTTTTATGCCATTCAAAATAGAGCACTGTATTTAAAAAGACTGCAGACTATGTCTAAATGTTTTCTATAAGATAAGTTTAGATTTTGTATGAGATGTGATATTTTGTGTGATCTGTCAGAACTGTTATCAAATGAAAAATTGAATGTACTGTGACTGCCAACAAGGCATAAAATTGATTTAATAATCAATTCATTAATGAATAAATAAATTATTGACATTCTGGAACACACTCACCTGGTCAGTAATTTCTTTTGACTACTTATATCATTAATGCTATCCGAATGAGCTGATGTGATGGTCTGTGGTTGGAGTGTAAATGGTGGGAGCTTCAATGATAGAGGAACAGCAGGTGGTGCTTTTGGTCTCCAGTTTTTTTTAATTGTGCACCGCTGTGACAGAGGCAGCAATACAAAGTGTATACCAGTCAATCAATCAATATTTATGTGTATAGCTCCATCATGAGCACAGCACTTAGCTAAGCAACAGTGGCAAGAAAAACTTACTTTTAGAATCAGATAAGATTACATTTATTGTCTCAGTGGGATTATTTGCCTTGGACTTCACATTGCTCTGATGCAGTAACAAAATATCAAAGTTCATTCATGTATCAGTCAAACATATCCAGTTTAATAATCATTGAATTACATACAAAGTAAAAAAAAAAATAATAATAATAAAAAAATATGTGATAATTAAGAACAGTGATTAACAACTGCAGGTACAGCTACACATCCACACACATCCACTCACAACCGCACGCCCATATGTACACACATACACACCTTACAGTTTAAGTGATGTTGAGGGCTTTGATAGAAAAGGGGACAAAGGAATTTTTCAAACGGTTGTCCCTGACTGAGGGAACCCTGTATTGTCTGCCTGAAGGGAGGAGCTGCCCACAGAAATGACTCTGCCCTGAAAACCCAAGTGAAAAAAAAGTTTGCTTACTAGATATTGTTGGGGACAAAAGCTTTCTGTCATCCTGACTTTTGTTCACGGTCGTACCCAGCTCCAAATGACTAACAGTTAAGTTCAATGGACCCACTCCACAACTTTTACGTTAAAAAAAGAGGGGATTTACACTGTGAAACAGGCAACAATGAATAAAATGTGTTTCTTTGTTGTGTTTATTAGTGATGGTGAGTATAGGTTTAAAATGATTTGGTTATGATTGCTAACCTGTTTTATCTAATCCTAATGGACCCCCCCATGGGCCTGGGCCCAGGAAAGCTTTCCCTTTGTTCCCCCCTTATGGACGCCCTTGCTCAGAGTGGAGAACATGAGATGGGTCTGAGAGGATTTGTTTTGTGCCTGGGATGTTGATGGACTCCCCTTGATCAAACAGCCATGCTGCTACTGTGTTTGGGTTGGAAAGTGGGTTAGATGCAGAAAGAAAGACAAGACTAGAGAAAATCAGAGTAACAACAATAATAAAATAAAATGAATAAAAATAATTATGGCTACAATGTCAGTATTAATGGTTAAAGTATTGGTATGAGCAGTAACAGAACAGTATGACCAATTATTCTAATAATAACATTAGAAACTATAATAACAGTGAAAAGGAGAGGACTGGTATGTTAACAGTAGCAGTTAAAGTCGAGCACCTTTAAGATTCACATTAAAATTCATTGTTATGATAATTAATATAATACTGATATTAACAATTATAGCAGTTGGATTCAGGCAGTTTCAGCAGCAGCAGACCGTCCTACCATCCAGAGGAACCAACGAGGCAAGGGAGCATGGGATCTCTCAGGAAAATATATGTTTAGTAATTTAAATAGTACATGAAGATTTATTATTAATATTGCTCTTACCTTTCTAATAGATGTATTGACCTCTATAAAATGGTAGTTAAAGGAGACCTTTCTACTCTTCTTATCGCCTGCATTATTACAAAATAATTCAATAATGTCCTTTCAAAGGCCAACAGCTGTGACTCTAAACCTGTCAAACCAGTTGAGACTGATGGTATTTTTGGATTTCAATGCTGCTTGTTTAGAATCTCTTTTGTATCTCTTTTATTACATGGATTACGCCTGTTAATACCCTATTCTTAAAGGTTTTATTGTTATGTGTTCCTTGTTCAGATTTTTGAAGATTGAAGACGGGAGGACAGCAAACCCCAGTGGGTTTAATGCACGTACGTACACTACAGCCTTCAGGTGTGGCCTGTTACTTATTACCTAGGACAGATTTGAGGTACAGTGCTTCTATTCAATGAAACTTTAAACCCCTACTCAAATAGTAGATGAGAATTTGCTACTTTATAACCCAAAGCATTATTGGTAACATGTTTGATGAAAGGTAACGTTACATTAACATTAAAGATCATGAAGATCATGTTTATTCAAAGTTATATATGATTGGGTACTTCCATCATGAGCCTGAGAGTGGACAAAAATCATCTTGTTTGTCTTCATCATTCTTCATGGGAGACTGGGAGTCAGAAAAGTTTGACATCTGCACCACCAGAAACTGATTTAGACATTTTAAAACTGTATTCATAAATGTATTTTATTTCGATGAAAGCATAATCAAAGGGAAATTAAAGTAAGTGTGGTTTTTCTACTGCACTATGATTCACACAGAAACATGTTTCTTTTTCCAACTTTCAATGAATTCCTGTGGCCTAGTTTCCAGTTATTTTAAGATTTTACTATCCAAACATGTGATAGACCCATGATGAAACATGAAACATCATGTTATCTAACTAATGAACTAATGCAGCTCAGCTCCACCAGCTACAAAGAGCCTCAATTCTACTAACGCATATATGCATCATTTATCATTATTATGTGATATAATAACATTGTGATGTAAAAATGTCATCCTCACTGGAATATATTGGTTAATTTATGATCTATTCTGTTTAATGTGTATTTGAGCCTTCTTGTCTGTGCTGCTGCAACGCCTGAATTTCCCCTCTGGGGATCAATAAAGTATTATCCTATCTTATTTAGCATGCTTTACACTAACCTCACCTCAAATACATGGGAGTCTTTTTTTTTCTGTACAAATCCAGCTTAAGTAGTGACTCACAATGTTGTAACACAACATGTATGAAACCACTATCCTGTTGAAAATGTGATTGATTTAAGAAAGTGAAAAAGACACATTTGATAAATATATATATATACATAACAGAAATAAAGTGTATTACTGCTAGTGGCTTTCTTTGCATTTCAATGTAGCACTTTTCTTTTTGTTAGAACTTCGTCTTGATATTTTAGAAATACATCATCGTTTTGAGCCTGTAAAGAATGAAACTTAGAAAATGTGTATATTCATTGCCGCTCTGTTGAGTTATTTTTCAAAGTCAATACATTTCTGTTCTGGGCTGTAAGATACTTCAGATACTTATAAACGGTATTAGTTAACATACCAGTATGATTAGTGCGGATAGAAAGCATAAAAATGCTTCTCATCTGTGGTTGTTGCCACTTTAAACTTCAACTCCCCTTAAAAAGTCAGTGCTGCAGTTTTGCCACTTTGATCAAGAGAGTCTAGCTCCGCCTCTGCATGTCTATTTAAATATATTTTAACCCGACATGTTTCGGTTTTATTCAAAGTGTATGCATGATCATTGTTAACTGTCGGGAGACACATTTATGGTCTGTAGACATAACAGCCATAAAAACTGTTGTGTTCCCACAACTTAAACAAGCTCAGTGTTATCACATGGAAATGACGCCACCAGAGGCTGAGAAGTTAAAAGTACTTGTACAATGTTTTAATGTTGCTTCTAGTTAAGTATTTCTTCCACCAGTTTTGCTCATGTCCTCATCCACGAGTGAAACTGATCTGAAGCCTGTCAGCTGTAGTGGGCGGTGCCTATGCTACATCAGCCAATCAGGGTCATGTCCGTCAATAAAGTGGCACTAAAGCGGACCGTCCTCAGTCTGAGTGACTCGTACAGTTGTGTTGACTTTCTCCGTTGGTAGTGTGTGTATTTATGAAGACGGAGCTCAATGAACAGCTTCCAGTCGCTCGGTATCTGTAGGTTTCAGGAGATCAGAGCGACATGAAGCTCCTGGACGAGCGGATCTGTTCGCTCTTTAAGCGCCACTGGCAGCACACTCTTACCTACTGGAGTGTGTTCTTCAGTTTCGGCATGTGCATCGCCTTCCTTGGTCCCACCATCCTGGACCTGAGGTGTCAGACTCAGTCCACGCTGCAGCAGATCACCTGGGTCTTCTTTTCTCAGCAGCTCTTCCTGCTGGTGGGCAGCAGCGTGGGAGGACTTTTCAAGAAGACGTGAGTGAGCTTGTTTGAGTTGGATGCTTTTAGACTATGACACAAGATCGTATCCAAAGGTAATGAAGTTAAGACTAAATATGCATGTGGTAAATGGGACGCTAGACTCCTACTTAATGTAGGCTAACTAATGTAACTTTTTTTTTCTAAATATTATATCATCCAACACATTACTCCATGATTGTCTTTAAGGCATACAAACTCAAGCTAATTTAGAAGTATTAAAGTTGTTTTAGTTTTCTTTTTTTTGAAAACATCAATTAGGACCCCATTCATTATAATAATAACAACAACAACAGTAATATTTATTTTTGGTTACTACTAGTCAAGCCTAGTTTGTGGCCAAATTGTTTCAGCACTAGAATTCTTCTCTACTCATTGAGTTTTAAAATCATGCAAAGTTTTTAAAGTAAAAATATTTTTGGGAAAATTAAGTTATTTTTTTTGTTATTTGAATGAATTTGATGCACAAAATGAAACAAAACATTTAGATAAGATAAAATAACCCTTTATTAATCGCTCTATGGGAGATTAAGGTTATAAAAAAAAGATAACCAGGAGGTAAAACTAAAGTGAATCAAACACAGATATCATTGCCTTTTATTATTTAAGTCATGGGAATACACTTGTTAAATTTAGCAATGTGGATCAGCAAGTGGTGCCCGCTTCATTTAACCTCTAGAATTTAGACCTGAGTATTTCAGGCATTAACAAAATCAAATAACATTAGTACATACCAGGTAGAAATGTCAACGTAACATCATCAATAAAGCACACATTGAGATAAAAAATAAATAAAGACCATAATAGAGCTAAATAAGTACAATGAGTACAAACAATTCATCATCCCTACACAGTTTGGTTTGTGGAGGATCAATGTTCTTTGTGTGGGTGAGGTTCTGCTTGAGAATTTGGACACGCAACTCCAACATTTCTCAAACCCGGCTACAGCGCAGCCCTTGACGTAAAAGAAATAATGTGAATAGAGTGACTGTGTCAATGTGAAGTATTTCATTGTCCATATTGAGATGTTTACCTACAGTTGCTTTATTCTTAATTTGACTGTCAAATCTGGGATATTCAAATAGCAGATGGATGTTTCAGGCCGTCCTTCACACATTGAGCAGCCTGTAGGCCTGGCATGCATGTGTGTGTTATTAGACTCTGAGGTGAAAAGAAACTGGTGTTTTCCATGCATGCAACACAATTGCAAAATAACTAGTGTCGTTCCTTTGTCACAGAGAAGTTTTTTTTTTGATAATGGATGGTTTCACAGACCATTTGTATCTGCCACCTGTAAGCCCTGTCAGTTAAATCATGATTGGACTGCAATTGTAACACACCTTTCTCAGAGTATTACAGTGTTTCACCCTACTGCTACTTTCCATTATACAAATGCATTTATACACAAATGACGCAGGCAGTCACAAGGTGAAAACCTGCCCGTCAGGAACTAATGTATTTCAGTCACACACACACACCTATGCCTTTAGAAGCAGTTTGGGGTTCAGTGTCTTGCCATAGGCCACTTCTACATTAAGACTACAGGAGCAGGTGATTCAACCAACGATCTTTCCAAAAGAATCAATAAGTAGATGAAGATAATTCACTATCAAAATTAATTATCTTGATCGTAAATATTAACAAGCCTATAAAATGATCATGCTAACATAAACATAAAAAAACAATGATAACATGACAATGAGCTCAATGTCAATAAACACAAAGTTCAGCCGAGGTCGTAGAGAATGTCATTACTTTAAGAGTAATTTCATAAATAAATAGAAATGTAAGCTGGCCCTTGGTGCAGCGTTGGGGAATCCTGATTCAATTTATAAAACTAAGGTGGGTTTGAATGTATGTAGGAAATGTCATGCTTAATGAAAAGTTGAGTTGATCCAGTCTGGATTTGAGACATTTCAGTGAATAAGTGAAAGTGTATTGACCTCATGATGGAACTAGAAAGAAAGGTCAGGGGATTGCCAGAGTCTGTAGGATTCTACTTCTTGGGATCATCGATGTAAATTCATGGAAATCCATGCGACAGTTGCAAAGATCTGGATCAAAGTGGGGCAAAGTCACAGCCTTGTCAATCTAATAGCAATGTCAGGAATCAAATCATATCAATGAACAATGGCCCTGTATACATGCGGCCCTGTTCTCTCTCCCCCTACCTGCAACACACTCTGGCTGTATCCAAATTGGCAAGTACAGATACTCAATCTTTCAGTAGTCAGTAGGCAGTACCTACTATCCGTGCTGCATACTGTTAGTACCTACTATTCAGTAGGCAGATATTTGTTCCTACTTCGTCTGATTCATTCAGTAAGGAAGTGGCGTCATTTACGTTACCCGAACCGGCCGCATTCCACCCGTTTTTTAGTTTTAGTTTTTCTTTTTTTTAGTTTAGCTTTATTCAAGAAGAGTATATACAGTCAGGTAAACAAAAAACAATATCACAATGTAAATCAAGTAAAGGCAGATTGAATAACTAAATAACATACAGTAGCCTTCATAAAGAAAAGTAGAAATGAAAGACAGTAATATACAGAATATAAAATAAACCAATAAAGACACATTTAAATAGTGAAATCATTCTTTAAATAGAGGGGGGAAAGCTTTTATAATAATGCAGACATTTGTTATATTTTCTGTTGTTAATTAAAAGTAGTGATTTCAGTCGGGACTTTAACTCTACATTAAAAATTGATTCAATTAATCCACGCTCGTTTGTTTTGATTTGGAGGCAGACGTGACGTGACGATTTACGTTTAATTTCGCACTGCATTGTGGGAGTTAAAATACAATTCATTTCCTGAAAGCACGCATCCGATCCATACTGCATGAAACCCGGAAGTTAGTATCCATACTTGAAATGTTCAGTATACTGAGGTGGACCCAAACAATGCATACTGAATGACCACAAAGTTCAGTATACTGAAACTCCATACTGAATAGTACGTACTGGCCAGCAACATGCTGAGGAGATTTTGTTCCCCATTTTTACTTTTCTCTATCTACTGTAGGTGTCTGTTTTTCTCACCTGGCATGTTGAGATTGCTTGGTTTTGTTGTGTTAGTTTGGGCTGGAGATCACTGTTCGTCCTTATCTTTTCTTCTCAGGCAGTTTCAGTGCCGGGAGCGAGACCCATTAAATGGTTGGCTTGGCAACTTCCCATCTTTCGTTTAAAACTGATTCAAAAGTGAAAGTTATCCTGAACTATTTGACCATGTTGATATACGTCTATCTTTCGAAAATATTTTAACAAGAAATGTGTCAATTTGTCTCACAATCACTCATGTAGATTTTCAATAGCTGTAGCGGCTAAAATGATTGTACAAGTGAGCAGTGCATTACAGTCACCAATGAAATGAACACGCAAACACAAATAAACTGGATTTCAAACTCATATAAGTCCGTCACTCTCCATCATTAGACACCAACATCTCTAATCAGCTATCAATCAACTACGACAGCAACCAGAGCTCTTTCTTCTTTCTACTTTACCTTACGGCCTAAATACCTGCACATGCACAGTCTTATTTGTCCTCTGTGAGGACTGCTCCCTTTATGATGCCTCTGAACTCTCTTGTTAACATTACCATAAAGTAACCATATTTACAATTTCTGCATGGAAATAAAAAAAAATGTGTTGAATGATATCTTTGCACAGATGGGATTTTACGCGACCCCTGCAAAACGATTTTGAGAAATGCTGCTACAATCATAATTTTCATCAACCTTTCAACACTTAAATGAACACATTTTCAAAATCATGAAACCAAATGATGTTTCTGACACGGTGACACTGTAACCATATATGAGCCTGTTGAAAATCGGTAAATAAGAGTTGATGGGGGCACTGACCCAGCATCACCCGCTTTTCAACCAGATATCTGTGTTGATATCTCAGTCATTGCTCACTGTGCTGTAGACTGTCTTTAAGTATGGTCCGACCAATATTGGATATTTGAGACCAATACAGTATGAGAGGAAGAAACCACAGATGAGTGGTGGATAACATGCAGCTTGGGGGCAGAAAGGGTGGAGGTCCAGACCACCATGTTCATTTTTGATGCTACATGTGCTGCAGACGGTGTCGAGAGTATTGGCAACTGTGACTCAGAGTGTCCTCTGGATAAGCACTACAGTAATGTATTCTAAACTGGTTCAAATAATAGTATAAATGTTTATTAAGAAAGTGTGAGTTCAGTGTGGTTAATTTATTCATGTTTAGAAACTTGTGATTACTGCCAGAACTGATTTGAGCCGCTCTACGTATATTTCTTTTTGCCTCTTAATGACAAGCCCTTTAAGAAATTCCTCCTGAACAAAATAAAAGTATTCTGGAAAAAGGTTAAACATATATTGTGGAAAGTTGGCAGGAAAGAATGAGAGTACCAGGTGAAGATAATTTGTGCAGCTGCTGGAGGGCTGTGATAAAGCCACTGGGTAAATAAAAGCCAGTGGAGCAGCAAACCATCAAGGTGACTTAACTCAAACAACAAAACACTGTGGCAAGGTCTGAGTAATGGTACAAGTATGAGGAATATGTCCGAGTCTTTCAAACTAAAACTCTGCCTTTAATTCTTAATATAGAATGAGTCACTGTATTATATCTTTAATTCATTGTCTGTCCTTAATCATGTGGGTGTCGTCTTTTTCTTTGTCTTCTGCAGACTCCTGTCCTCCCTGTCAGCACTCCTCTGCTGCACTTTCGTCATCTCTCTGGTGTTTGCTGTCATACCACTATGTAACCATGTAGCGCTGTTATCCGTCGCCATGGCAATTGCTGGTCAATCAATGGGAGTGATTGACAACATCGCCAACAGGCAGCTGGTGAAGCTGTACCAGAAAGACTCTGCCACCTTCCTGCAGGTCAGAGTGTGTGTATGTGCTTGAGTGTGTATGTGTGTGTGTGTATTCATACATGAGTGTGTGCTTTAGAGCAGTGGTTTAACTCCTGTATGAGAAATCGTGACTAAAATTTCTGATGCATTTCAACCAATCACATTTATTTAATGAACAATAATGAAGTTTGGACCTCAAGTTGTTCAAAATATTAACAGACAGAAGAGACCGATCAACACTAACATGTTTAAAAATGCGCCTCATACCTAAAAGAGTACTGGGTGTTCGTGTGCACATTACACGATTACGACTTTTCTCAAACTTGGAGAAAAAATTAGTAATCAAGGCAACATGCAAGGAAAAAGTAATTATGCAGTATGTTCAGGGTTTTAATGTTCATGTCTCCTCCCAGGCTCTGCATTTCTTCATAGGCCTGGGAGCTCTGGTTACGCCCCTTGTCGCTGATCCTTTCCTCGCGGAGGACTCCTGCGTTCTTGGTGTTAACTCGACCGCCAACTCTTCGTCCTCTTCTACCTCTGACCTTGAGCACCTCCGGAGCAGAATGGCCGGGCAGGTAGCAGCGCTTCCAAATATCTTCCAGTATCCTCTGCACACAGAGGGCCTAGTCATCACCAGGGTCGCGTACGCCTTCTGGATCATGGCCCTCATCAATGTGAGTTCATGTCGTTATTAATGTTTTTTATTTATAGTGTTAAAATAAGATTTAGAAACAAGGGGCACTATTTTGATGGTGTGCACCGTGCTTTGATTTGGGGTGTTTCCAACCACATTTTGTTGTAGTAGCGGCACACAATTTAGACGCTAAGCGAGGTGCAGGACGCAAAGAGGCTGTATAAGTCTTTGTTTTGGAGTAACATGAATCAGTGCCAGCTCTCGTTCCCTTTAAGAGCCAGCTCCAAAAAAGCCTCTTTATGAGCGTGTTTGTCTGTGTCCCTACAGCTCCCTGTGCCTGCAGCAGTGCTCACATTGATGTACCACGAAAGACTGCTGTCTTGCTCTAGCAAGAGTCAACATCTGCTGGACAAAAACTCTCAGACCAGCAAAAGTCACAGTGGGGAGAGTGAAAGTCACACTGTGGACAGTGAGGAAGGTAAAGCTGGAAGTGAAAGCATGTGTTATGAACTCTCGATACCTATAAAATGTCAGACCTCTCAGTGTCCTTGTCTCTTCAGGCCATGGGAGTTTGTTTTGCTGTTGTGACGCTGCCAGAGTCAGAGGTCATCCAGCTACTTTCTTCATCATCCACGCTCTGGGTGGGGCCATCCTCTTCATCACTGACGGGATTATAGTGAGAATTCCTGCTCACACTACAAATATACACACAAACATCGAACATTTGACTCTCTGCAAGAGGGGTTTTCAAACTATGAGGGGTTGGGTGAAGGTTATAATGGTAGGAGGGCTTCAAGGATGAGAGCTGAGGTGATGATGAGGAGGTCAAATAGACAGATGGATGCCAGTGTGTTAAAAAACAAAACAATGTTACCAGGTTTTTTCTAGGAATTCATTTCCCTGTGTTCAGACTAGTCGACTAGTCTAAAGTTAAGAAAACACTCAGTAAACAGTCTAAACTGAGCACAATGTACTTGACACAGATTAACACGGGATTGTGAGTAAATGATGGAAGATTGGTTTGCAGACTGTGGCTAACATTAGCAGCGCTAGTGCTACCTGCTGAATATGCCAGTTTAACCTGACACAGCATAAGCAAATAAGATGCTACAAGAGGATACAAGATGCCATCTGTCCACTGTGCGGTTTTACATCCAGATAGTAAAGCATTATGGCCGTAGCAATTAACCGGAGCTACAGGCGCGGCTAGCGGGCGCCTGCCTTACAGCGTACATGCTACATTTCACACATTTAGGGCCAGAATTCATAAAATTAATAATTAATAATTTGATTCACCGGCTAGTCATTTTGGTGCAGACTAGCGTGTGCGAAGACTTAAATAATTTAGTGAGCAATTTGTGCTCATCCCTGATTTTTACCAGCTGAATTGGCATGTTAACTGGAATGAAAGTAGGTGAGGTTACAGTAGTGGCTGTGACACACAGCTTATGGAGGCAATTGGATGGCTTGAACATGGTTTGATAACTGCAATTAGCATCAATTGCAGGTCATATTTTGGTCAAATCTGAACAAACAGACATGCTACTTCCCTAAATTTAGTTTTGAAAGCTTAGAAAAGAAGCACTCTTTATAACTTCACATATTACCTTTGAGTTCTCACTTTTTTAGTTTCAGTATCTCAGTAATTACGAGATTGCTGTCTGTGAATCTATAGATACACTGCAAACAGGAACTGATAATAGCTGATATGGCAACGTTTTTATGGTGCCAATTGCAGAGAGATCCAAATATCATATTCTCTGCCCTGTGATAATCTCCTTTTGTGTTTGTTGTCACGCAGGGCTCCTACTCTGGCTTCGTCTACACCTACGCGGTGTCCCCTCCTCTGCTGATGGGTCACAAGACTGCAGGATGTCTGGACAGTGTATTTTGGGCAGCCATCACTTTGGGAAGACTGGCTTTCATTTACCTTTCCTGCAAATTCACAGCATCCATTCTGCTCACTGTTAGTCTGGTAAGAACACATACATAAAAGAAGAAGGAACAAACCACCCTAACCATAAAGTACATCCTTTTTGACATCTCAAGATATTTAAATAGATACTTGTGGGTAACACAAGGCTATAATTTCATATAACAGACAATAGAGCAGATGTCATATGAGTTACAATCAAATATTTGACCAGGGAACACACATGACTTCATCTGGTGGTGTCATTCCGAGGAGGATTAAATATGCACACAGACAACAGGATCTTAAAGCCAGCTGCTTTGTCATGCTCAACCTTTTATTTCTGCACTTACAAACAAAAGAAAATCTTACTGTGCTGAAATATGCTGAAAATGTTTATGTCAAACCAAAAACATGTATATTTTTTTGTGTGCCTTTAATGGAGAGATAGGACAGTGGATAGAGTCAGAAATCAGCATTTTTTGACCTGGGCTGCCCGCTTGAAAGACTACAGCCTCCATACATGGGGCACGCGCACTAACTGCTGCACCACCAGCACCCCCCAAAAACATATTTATAGGAAAGAAACTCGATATTTAATAACGTCTTGTGTCTTTTTACAAAGAGATGAAGCTTTAACGTGTTCTTGAATCTGCATAATTATTTTTTTTCCCCATATGTGGGCATGGAAACAAACTGGAAATACAACATCTAAATGTGTATCACCTCTGAAAGTTAATATAATCATCCTTGAGCAAATAGTTGACCTGTTCTGTTCCGTGGGAAAATTACCTGACCACTCAGCTGCTTGATCCTTCAGTAAGTTCATCATGTAAACACTAACTTTGTTTGTCTGCAGCTTAATGCTGGATACGAAACTTAAAATAGGTTTGTTTCTGTTTATTTGCTCAAAAACAGCTGCTTGCTGCTGCCAGAAACATGCCTGATGAGAGTGGAGGTTGTAGGTTACCTGAAAAACCTGTTTATTATTTAAGACACATTATCAATTATAATAAAATAACACATACAGTATCTCACAAAAGTGAGTACACCCCTCACATTTCTGTAAATATTGTATTATATCTTTTCATGGGACAACACTGAAGAAATGACACTTTGCTATGATGTAAAGTCGTCAGTGTACAGCTTGTATAACACTGTAAATTTACTGTCCCCTCAAAATAACTCAACACACAGCCATTAATGTCTAAAACGCAGGCAACAGAAGTGAGTACCCCTAAGTTAAAATGTCCAAATTGGGCACAATAAGCCATTTTCCCTCCCCGGTGTCATGTGACTCGTTAGTTTTACAAGGTCTCAGTTGTGAATGGGGAGCAGGTCTGTTACATTTGGTGTTATCACTCTCTCACTCTCATACTGGTCACTGGAAGTTCAAGAACTCTCTGAGGATCTGAAAAAAAGGAATTGTTGCTCTATATAAAGATGGCCTAGGCTATAAGAAGATTGCCAACACCCTGAAACTGAGCTGCAGCACGGTGGCTAAGACCATACAGCGGTTTAACAGGACAGGTTCCACTCAGAACAGGCCTCGCCATGGTGGACCTCAGATGTTGAGTGCACGTGCTCAGCGTCATATCCAGAGGTTGTCTTTGGAAAATAGACGTATGAGTGCTGCCAGCATTGCTGCAGAGGTTGAAGGGGTGGGGGGGGGGGTCAGCCTGTCAGTGCTCAGACCATACGGCACACACTGCATCAAATTGGTCTGCATGGCTGTCGTCCTAGAAGGAAGCCTCTTCTAAAGATGATGCACAAAAAAGCCCGCATACAGTTTGCTGAAGACAAGCAGACTGAGGACATGGATTACTTGAACCATGTCCTGGTGGTGGGAGTGTCATGGTCTGGGGCTGCATGAGTGCTGCCGGCACTGGGGGAGCTACAGTTCATTGAGGGAACCATGAATGCCAACATGTACTGTGACATACTGAAGCAGAGCATGATCCCCCTCCCTTCAGAAACTGGGCCGCAGGGCAGTATTCCAACATGATAAGGACCCCAAACACACCTCCAAGACGACCACTGCCTTGCTGAAGAAGCTGAGGGGAAAGGTGATGGGACTGGCCAAGCACGTCTTCAGACCTAAACCCTATTGAGCATCTGTGGCGCGTCCTCAAACGGAAGGTGGAGGGGCGCAAGGTCTCTGACATCCACCAGCTCCGTGATGTCGTCATGGAGGAGTGGAAGAGGATTCCAGTGGCAACCTGTGAAGCTCTGGTGAACTCCATGCCCAAGAGGGTTAAGGCAGTGCTGGAAAATAATGGTGGCCACACAAAATAATGACACTTTGGGCACAATTTGGACATTTTAACTTAGGGGTACTCACTTTTGTTGCATGCGTTTTAGACATTAATGGCTTTGTGTTGAGTTATTTTGAGAGGACAGTAAATTTACAGTGTTATACAAGCTGTACACTGACGACTTTACGTTGTAGCAAAGTGTCATTTCTTCAGTGTTGTCCCATGAAAAGATATAATACAATATTTACAGAAATGTGAGGGGTGTACTCACTTTTGTGAGATACTGTATGTTTATAGAAAATGTTTAAGAAATCAAGGACCCATCATGTCAGTGAATATCAGCACCAACTTTTGCACAGATCTGCCCTCTAGTGGAATATAAGGTGAACAACGTGAAGCAACAGATGTGCCTAGAATCATTAGAGATGATTTATTTTAATGTTTTGACTCTGGGTCTACTGTAAATTCAGTCTTAAATGAATGACTACATTTGTTTGTCTGATATGTTAAATGTCAGGGCTTTATTTGTCTCCAAAAAGTATGACACAAATGTGTGATTAGAGAACAACAATGATTTATTTGCAGAAGAAGCCATGGTCATTTTGTACTTGAACCACAAATAACCTCTAGTTCATTTTAACTGAATTATTCTTGCCCCCACTCCTCATAGCGTGTAATACAACAGATAGCCAGGCTTAATCTTAACAAACCTGAATGAAAGGCTTGTTTATTTAAGGACACTCCACCAATATATAACTTCCTTACATGTATAAATAAATTAATATAAAGTATCTTCTCGATGAAGGTGTAGCTTAAAATGACCTGAACTGTATTTATTTAATGCTTTGCTTCTGAATAATCCAAGTCCTTTACAGTACATGTGTCATTCATCACACACACATTCAAACACTGCTGCAGAGGTCTGCTTTGCATATAGCAGTACTAATCTAAGCACATTCAAAAACATTCATGTCCATTGCTTTATTAAAAAAATGCAATATTGTTAGTGCTGTTTATGAGTAGGGTTGTAAGTATCAAATGGTTTGCCGTGTTTGGATCTGGTCCTGACCGGTTAGGTTTCTGGTTCTGCTCTCAGGTTTTAACCCCCCCTTGTGTGCATTTTGAGGAAGTAGTTCTTTGTGGTTGCATCTCACACTGAAGATAACTGGCACCTTTCTGTGTGGAGGTTTGCATCAACGGTTTTCCTCCTGCGTTATGCAAGTTCAGTGCATGCTCTTGCTATAGCCCTTTTTTTCCCCCAGTATAATAGAATGAATGTGCAGAAGTTTGCTGGGGTTGTTCTTTGAAATCAAATGACGTGCTTTTATATTGTGTGTGCTTTGCAACTATACAGAGGTCTTCTAGGGTTGTCACGTTGTCCTAATTGCATTCAATAACACAAAAGAAACACTGTGCATGTTGAGGAAAAAACGTGGATAATAAACAACAAAGAGCTGGTGAGCTAGTTCTCCACAGTTTTCTGACTGTGTTCACATAGGTGTCCTTCAACACAGCACCACATCTGTGAGTGTAAGTGAAACTTTGTAGGGAGTCATTGCTTTAAGATGTTTTATGTGTATATACTTTCATCATTGACATTTCGGATAAGGAAAACCCTAGAAGAAGAGCCTTGAAGACAGATCAGTTTACAGCAGCCTTGAAGCTAACCACGCAATTTAGGGTAAATCAATTAAATAAAAAAGCTCAATATTTTAGAAAGTGTAACTTTACAGTAAACATGCTCATTCAGAGGTCATATCTTATAGACCAAACATGCTATCTGAGCTTTAGCTGAACCTATCCTTGTTGTGACTCAGCAAACAGGACCTGTGTCACATGGAGCTCTTTTTTAAACCTGCATTCCAGACTGCAAATAAACCAATCCTGTTCTACATGACAGAGGGAACTGCTCTGTGGGGGGGGTTATCTGGATTAAGTGTGTTTACTCTTCCATTCAGGGCCTCTGTTCTCTCTGTCTCAGAGCCGAAATAGCTCAGTTGGGAGAGCGTTAGACTGAAGATCTAAAGGTCCCTGGTTCGATCCCGGGTTTCGGCAGTGCTGTGTTTTTGGAAATACACCTACCATTCACAGGTTAAGCTACTCACCTACAGCTTGTCCTGTTTAAGCTTCTCCATGAATCAGATATTCACTTGTGTTCATAAAAGTCTGGGTGTTCAATGTCTGTTTGCCAACACTGGTCCTCCATGTTACCACGCTGTGTCTTTGTGTTGCACTTTTAATATCTTGCATGATGAAACATTCCCTTTGCCTCCAGAACTGCTGACTCATAGCAGCTTTTTAAGGGTCTCACTGTACAGAGTTTGTGGTACATAAAAAAACAGATTCAGTAATGCATTCATCATGTTCTCCTGTGTTGATTCACTCAAAGTACGAGTTAAAAGCTAAATACTAAAGACAATACCACCTCATGGAGAGCACACTATTTACCTGCATGGGCAAATTGCATAGCCCACCCAGTCATGCTAATGCTGTCGTCTACAGTCAGTTATAGTTGAGAGGTGGTAGTTTGAAAAGCAGAAAGGATTTCAAGGTCTGTCAATTGATCATTACGCTTTTAGTTTTAAAAAGTAGAGTCAGTTACGAAGCTCTAAGTAAAGGCATGAAGAGCCCAAAAAAGAAACCTTTAAAAATAAAAAGGTCCCAGGTTTGATCAGTTGTGATTGTATAATAGCGAAAAATAATAAAAACTCTACGAGGGAGTTCTGGCCAATAGAGGTTTCATATAAATATATATTAATATATGAATAATTTCAAACATGAAGCTTACTCAGAAATTGACTTAACAGTGAATCAGTATTTCTCAGTGAGTGTTCAGAGGTCAAAGAATCTTGAATCCTGTTTTGATAATCTTCTTTGCTTATCATTCTTAACTAGTTTGAGGTGACTCTGTTGCTCATACCAAGACGAATAAGCCAAATTCTATAAAGTACAAAAACAGTTGTTTCAAGAAATGACTAAATATGCAGATGAATTATGATCTTAAAGAATATTTGGTCTCGCCGTGCAGGGAGTATTGTCTGTTATATGAAGCTTCATGTTTGTTCATGCAGGACAAGTCACACACCGCAGCTGAGGTCAGCTGACAGCCTGCTGATTGAATCATTGTTTTTAATGATGCACAAACCAATCCCAGCCTGTAACCAGGCAGTCCATTGAAATACGACTTCCTTCTCACTGATTCCTGCAACACTAATGCCGCTCACACTGCGCTGCTGCAGGCGAAGCTTGCCTCCACCACCCCCTCCTCCTTTCTAGAATAAACCTTTTGGTGCACCCTCACACGGAGAGTTTAGCATTATGCTCTGTGGAAAGCTGTGGCATGCTGCTCAGCTTAGCCATGGAGCATCTTCATAGCAGAGCCATCAGGGATCCTGACTGAACTAAAAGGTTTTTCATGTGTTTGTTTTTGTTTGGGCAGAGAGTTTTGCACTGTGTGCAGATGCTTAAATCAAAAGTGTCAAAAATGATGTTTGTCTCATGTAGTTTGGTTTGTTATTCAACACATTTGTAATACTCTGCACAGCATGGTTTGTTGGGTTTCTGTTAAGCCCTGGTCCTCCTAACGCTGTGTGCCTGTGTCTGTGTGTGTCTCTGTGTGTGTGTTAGGGGGGGCTCATACTGGTGCAGTGTCTGTTGTTGATCTTCTACACCAGCTCTGTGTTCCTCTTCATCGGTACCTGTGTGTTGGGGCTGTGCATCAGCAGTGTGTTTCCCTCCATGCTGGCCTTTACAGAGGACATACTGGACTACAAAGGTAATCTAGCACACACACTGAGTCATACACAGACACAAACGCTCAGCATCAATGAATCCTAGAAGTCCCATACTGTGTGAGAGACCAAAAAAGACATGTTTTCATCATCTTAAATCACATTAATGAAAAGAAACAGAGTACACACAGACATTAAACCAAATATTCAAATACTAAAAAAAAGTGTGGGCATATTGTTTATTGTAAAAAAAAACCTGAAAAACACACAGTCAGAGGAAAGGAAGGAAATGGTAATAATAATTATTATTTTTTATTTTTATAGAGGACTTTTTCTAAATTCAATTTAAAAAGTGCTTTACCAGAAAAAAACAGCAAAAAAGTCAAGGCAAGCTAACAAAGACAAAAAAAAAAAAAAAAAGTAGAATTAGTAGAGCCTGTAAAATGATGAGGTCAAGTGTAATGATGAAAAGCTAACATAAATCATAAAAGATTTAAAAGTGGTCACTGTGTCTGCTGACTTGATCTCCTTGGGCAGCTTGTTCCAGAGCTCAGGCGTTTGAACTGTGAATGCTCTGTTACCCCAATTTTCAGACCGAATAAAAGACCTCCGTCTGAGGATGTCAGGCTGCGTACTGGCTCATGTGGGACCAAAAGGTCAGATTGGTAGCAAGGGGAGAGGACGTAAAGGTCAGCAGTAAGGTCTTACAATAGGTAGGATAAAATAAATCATATTTGGCAAAGATGGTAAAAACAAAAGAAGAAGAACATGTTCGTCCTGGATGTAGTAACAATCCTCAAATAAGTATTTACTTGTTTTTTTAATGAATTATACATTTTTTTAATCTTCAGTTTATATGGATTTTCCTTTTTATCCCCTTTGCTAAAGGTTGTGCCACAACTGTCCTGGTGACGTGTGCTAGCACAGGAGAGATGGCGCTGCAGCTGCTCGTTGGATCTGTAAGAAATATTTTCATAACTGTCTTTGAATACAAACTTTATTCACTAGAATTATTTAATTTACACAGCTTCTATATTCAGTGTTTATTCATGATTTTTTTTCACGATTATTTCTGCATGTTTTTTTGTTTCTTTTGACATGCTAATGTTTGCTGCTCCATTCTTTTTGGAACTAACTTCCCCCTTTATTGACAGATCTGAAGTAGTTATAATAAGAAAAGACTTCACTGATTCATTGTAATGGCTTCCCTGCAGCAGCACATTAGTGTGAGGAAGGATAGCTGTGGCTGCTCACTGTGTCTGAAGGACTAAAGCGTCAAGTAAACACTGTCTTAATAAACCTGTTCTGATGCTGCGCTGCTTTCCAGGGTCAGCTGCAGAGTTGTATAAGATTATTAACCCAGTTTGTGAATGTTTCTCCTCCCACAGGTGATCAACAGTCAGGGCAGTTACTCTTTCCTGGTGTGTTGTACGGGAGCATCCTTTATCGCCTTCTTCCTGTTCTTGCTGTTCCTCTACACGCATCACCGCCACAGAAACTTTCACAAAGGTAAGCACCTATCAGGTCGACTCATGGAGAGAGAGAATGAAATTTTAATAACACGGACTTTAGAGAAAAAAAAAAAAACAGGAAACGGAAATCAATGTAATGTTACTTAATTTGAATAGAGAATAAGGCGGTGGTGGACACAAAAATAGCAGAAAGCAAAGCAGGTGGAGGAGCAGTTGATGGCTAAGCAGTAACACAACCAAAAACCTGCCGGTGGAAACAAAACAGAAAACCAGAACTTGGCATCGGTTTATGACGCAAGCATGCATTCTTTATAATAACCAGCAGAGGGCGCCTTCAGTGGTGAAAAAAAGTTAACATTTTCCTATGTGTTTTTAGTCTCTAGTATATACTGCATGATGTTAATATTTTTAAATTCTGGTACCAAGGCTATGCTTTAGGGAAGTGGTTCTCAACTGGTCTAGCCTCAGGACACACCAACAACTCCTCTATGAATAATCATTTTTTATTGAATGAAAAATAATGCCATTTGGATCCCACACATTCCAAACCATGGGACAGAACAAAGACGTGAACAAAACAAACTTTTGTTTTTCAAGCGCATATTCGCGACACAATGAAAGCAGCTCTGAGACCCACTTTTGGGTCCCAACCCACCAGTTGAGAAGCACCGCTTTAGGGCATATCATCCTGTGGCTAAGTGGCTACCAGGGTCAATGTGTTGAGAGGCAAAAAGATGTATCCAACTTGTTTTCCAAATATGGACCTGCTTAAGTCCGGCTTGAAAAACAAAGATGTTGAAGGGAGGAATTCAGTATCTAAGTCTTTATAATGGTGATGCATGAGGCGATAGGTTACATCACTATGGCTATACCCACTTCTTATAAAACACAAGAGACCACTGCCAAAATACGTTTTTTCTCTGGTTCTACTTTTTTTGATCATAAAAACACCTCCCATCTTCTAAATAAAATATCCTTATTTAGGGCAGAGGTGTGAATGGTTAAATGGACTTGAGCTTGTATAGAACTTTTCTAGTCTAGTGGCACCTAGTGGATCACTCTTGTATTTTAAATGATCAACACTTTTTACCTTTCAGATTGGTCTAAATACACAGAAATGGAAGAGAAGCCAAAGACTGGAGGCTCCTGATCTGAGGATCCATAAGAGACTGGGGGAAAGATCATGAGTGACCTCAGGCTCCAGCTGAAGACGGGGAAAAGGGAGCATGGGAACAATAACCGTGACACACGCACTTCCTCCTAGTGTCCGAACCGAACAGGAACTCCCTCCTTGTGTCGAACATTCAGAAGCCTTCTGATCAAGCAGGTCACTGGATGACCATTACTTGAATTGATAAATTCTCTGCTGCAGCTTGATTTGAAAGACAATGTAATGATTACCTATTAGCTTTAAGTGGGACTGTAAATGAACTGTTGAAGTATGACTCTTCGCAGCCTATGAAAGGGCTACTTTTGTGATTTTCTGACGGTAGAATGAAGCTGTTGGACACACTGTAAATAACAAATGATGTACTGGCAGAACACAAACACTGATGTTAGAGGTCTTTTATTATTGGTCTCACCTATCTCATTCATGATCAACATTTCCTCGACACCTCTCATACATCGATACGCCACTTAAGACAAGTAGCTTGTAAACAATTTTTTGAAAAAGCATGAAACAAACAGAAAACGGGACCAAACCAAGCAGGAACTTTCTACAAGATCTTACATGTTTAAAGGTAGGTTGAAGGACAAACATCAAATGATACAAATCATAAACACAACCAGTCCAAAGACTTGATAGAGACAGGTTCGAATGGGCTTGAGGGTTAATATCCAGCTATTTTATAGTTCTCAAAGTTAATGCGAAAATGCAAGATGAGCAGCCAATTCTCTCTCAAATAAATAAATAGTGTGTGGTAGTGCCTGATCACAAACGATTTTAAATCTTTAGATATATATCGAAAAAGATAAGATTTACTGTATAAAATGCCAAGTGCATAATTTGTCCTCCCTTTTGGGTGAATAAACATTTTTCTGAGTGAGCAAACATCGGCAACATTTCATCATCAAAGAGGAAAATCAGCGTCTTAGAAAAGCCACACAATCCAATACTACAGGAACCCCGAAAAAAGTTTTAAGTGCAAACGTCCCATCACAAAGTCTGCATGTACAATGTCAACACCATATCAAAACACTTAACATACAAAACATAGATTCAAATCTCTCCCCCCATAAGGCTTTGATTCCTAAAAACAGCCAATGCCACGGTGGGGCAGCCACCTCCCAAATACACGAGAAGGAAAAGCAACAGAAAGAAACACACATGCACATTAAAACAGAGAAACCCAAACATAGGAGACATCGAAACATCTGGCCGTTACAAAAATAGAGAAATTATTCTTAAAAGTTCTATTGGTATTACAGGGAAAAAAAAAAAAAAGAGAGGTTACACAAAAATAATAAGACAGGTTTCATAGATATATGTATATACTTTATGCAAGATTTGCTTCACAAACATTAATAAGCAGGTTAGAAAGAGACACGGCCAGCTGAACTCCCTCCTGTTAATGTCTGTATGTACAGTTGTGCATCCTGAAGAACAGCGCAGCACGTTTAAGATCCCCGTGAAGGTTTCATTCAAACCTCCCGGGCTGTGATTTGGTCTAAAAACTAATAAGCGCTGTCGTATATCTGTTCTAACTTTTGAATGATGAAACTGTGTCCATTTTAAACATGGGCTTGGCTGTGGTAAGGCACCTTGTAGACTATTATGATTGGCTGCAGAGTGCCGGGGGGTTGGGGGGGCAGGTGTGTGTGTAAGTTGAGTAAAAACAAGTGTGCATTTCCCCCCTTTAAGATTCACTGGCCATCCCTCCCTGGGTTAGAAAAGGGACACTTGGGTTAAGAAAACACTTCAACGTGTTCAATCCAAGTGTCATGTAAACATGTATGTTGCACAATTCCTACACGGAACAGCATAGAAATATGAATCTACCTCTTGAGTCTGTGTGTCAGACTTATGGCTTCAGAGTCGTTTACAAAACAGGTGTGAACGTCTAATGGCTGATAGTCTAGACAGGTTCGGGGCCTTTAAGTGCTTCAACACTCCCGACGGTTTCTACAGTCCTCGGGATCAACTGTGGATATAATTCAAAGGCGAGGAAAGGTTTGACCCCTCGCATTTGAAGGTTTAAAATAACTGCACTGATGCAGTAAAAATCATTAGAAATTCAGCTCATTCATTAGAAAAATAACATCATGGTTTCAGATTCTGTTTTATGAGGACGATTTTGGCTTGATTTGGATTTGATTGCTCATAAATGAGCACTTCAAGATTCGGGAAAAACTTCTAAATTGTCCTTACCCAAAGTTAGATGAGAAGTTTGACACCTCTGAGTCTGAGTGGTAAAAATGTGGCTTGAGCAAAGCTTCACCTTGAGAGGGGAGATGGGGGTCGGGCATCAGAATCTATCCAAAAACTCGCCTTCCTCTATTTAATGAACAAACACTATCTTCTTTAGTGTTAAAAAAAACAATTTGATAGCATGGGCAATTTCCAGGTAACCAATAGAAACTGGCACATAACCATACAAGGATAAAGATTGACATTTTGACACTTCCATTTTGGAGGGATATGAGATGTAACATACTCATAATCAAACTTGGCAGATTTTGTGACACTTGGTAATAGCCAGGAAGTTTCAGTCTAAGCTAAGATAGATTACCCAGCTCCGGCGTTATATTTACAAGAAAAGTTGTATAAATCTTGCTTAGCTTCCAGCAAGAAAGCATTCAAGTGTCCCATGTTTCCAAAATGTCAAACTATTCCATGAAAAATGACCAAAAGAAACTTGAAATAAGTGCGTTTAACATGATTGCTGCCTAAAACTATTCAGTTCATTTAGAAAGGCATTATGAGGGGAATTTAAAAACAAGATATTTTGTGATGATGTTTGCTGAGTCGATGCAACAGAAATGGCTTCATTTTCTTTCATTCCCACATGAAAGCTTACTGGCTGTTGGTTGACCGGGCCACACTGGCTCGCAGGGTTATTGTTGCATTAGAACATGCACAAAGTTTTTGTATGCATGCTTTCTCTGATTGTGGCCAAGGTGAATGTCAGTTTACTGTCAAGGTAAAAGTCGTGCTGGATATGGCTATACAGAGCCAACATTGCAGAGCAGCAAACTGTGCACACTGAGGCAGGCAAGATCTGGGCAAAAGATATAAGAGTCGCCGCACTGGGTTAAAGCACTACCCTTCAAGAAGAGTATTAGTTAAGGACAGAGCAGGAAAGATAACAGAATTATTCTCGGCAGAGGTTAGAAACTGATAACTAAATACGTCCTTTTTTTGGCAGTAACACTGGCGCACAAGACAAGAAGGACAGTCTATAAAAGGAGAGTCTGCTATATCACTGCTCAGTGTGTCCAAGTATGAAGCAGATTGTCGCTGCAGAGGGTCCAATTTACATGCAGCTACTGTTGCCATGGAAATTCCTCCCTCATTTGAATTGTTGACTGAGGATCCCAAAAAGCCAGACGGAATAAATCCATGAGTGCACAAGGAGAGATGGCACCAGTGTGTATGAGTGCAGGAAAGCATCTGTGGGGGTGTTAATGCTTTGAAACAAACTCAAACGTCCTCCTCATCTTTCAACCTGGTCTGCAGATTCTCTTTAGATCCTCCCTCCAATAATTCTAGTTGTAGTGCAAAGTCTGTGGCAGCACACTTTCAAGCACCGGAGTGATGAGGAATGGCAAAGACGGAGCTCCCACATGATTGTTCTGTTTGTGAGAGAGTGAGATGGAGTAAGGGGGAGGTGGGGTGGTGGTGGTGGTGTCTGGCTGTCTGGGTCCAAATGCAGTGATGCTGGTGGGGATTAACCCTATGTCTTCTGAGGGTCTGGAGAAATGGGCCCTGGCGTGTTGGTCCCATCCATACTGTGTACAGGGATCTGGAACTGTGGGGTGAGGACTGATGGGAACTGAAACAGAGCAGGAATTTGTGTTAAGACGGCTGGGCCAGATCATCTATTATGATCCATATTTAAATACAAACATATAATGTTACAATGTTGGACGTCCCTACTAAACCACAGTGAAGTTTGTTTGAACACAAGATATATAGTTGTTAGCATATTCCCTGTGTGCTTTCCTGTTGCCCTGAGCGAGACGTTATGAGAACTTTGCGAGACCTGGCCAGAACCTGACGTCGGGTTCTGTCAACGTTTGAGAGCAAAGCATGTAGGACATGCCCACCCTGTCATCTCTTTCAAGGACAGCCCACTCTGAAGCTCAATTAAATTGTGAATGTTTAAATTCTCCTGCTGTAAGTGTAGCTGCGCTGGTTTTACATGTGCATGTTCCCCCCCCCCCACTTGTTGAGTCTAATCCATTTGATATGTAGCTTGTCAGTGCAGCTTTTTCCCTTTTTAAGACACTTAAAGAGCTGGTCCAAAAGTGGGCACGTGAGAAGGGGGGGCAACAGCCAGCTGGTCTGCAGTTTTTAGCTTTAGTTAATATACAGTACCTAATGGTGAGAACATGTTTGAGCTATTGGTTAAGGAAGTTAATGTCCCACTCTCATCATTTTCACTATCTCAGTGAAACCAAAGCGCAAGACAGCTACAATAAAAGGGAATGTGTTCAAACTTCCATAACTCAGTAAACTGTTCACAAAAAGGTATCACAATATCAATCATATGGAAGTGATTTGGATATCTCAAAAGTAAAGAAGCGTAGATTGATCAGGGTTTGCCTTGAAAGATACTAGCCCAGTGATTCAATCAATTCTTTCAGTATTTTTCCCTTGAAAAAGAGGTTCTTAAACTCAATTGGATGGTTAAATGAATGAGTTTTCCATTAGCAATGGTCTTTAACAGTGCTCAGGCCCGGCTAGTCCTGGAGCAGTGTGAGTGCAGGCCAGCGGGGGATGGGGAGGGGGGGGGGGGGACAATCAAGCTTAAGCACAGTACAGGACAACTTTGCCTAATGTGAGCACACTCCTGGAGACATTTGTAACGTTATAGATGAAAGAAAGCAGAAAAAAGGGATATGCTGTAAGAAACTGACCTGGAACAGGTGAGCTCCTTGGCGTCGTGTGGCTGGGCTGAGGGGAGCCACAGGACTGAGTGTGCTCCAGAAGTGGATGTTTGACAGCAGCGGACTGGGAGTTAGCAACAGAGTGGGAGTCTGGGGAGGAAAAAAAAACAAGACAGTGTTTTTTTTAGGACTAATTTAAAACAACAGCATGGCCCACATTGACCAAATGTAGATGTTTTTTATTTTAAGACGTAAGACAACAAAACCCATTTCACCCATGGACTCCTGACTGATCTGATTCTAGTATATTAGGACTTTTGGATCCCGACATTTTCCCCTTCTGACATAAAACTGCATCAACGAAGATCAAAAAATATGTTTGAACTCCCAATTTGAAGTTGGAAATTGTTCAGGCTCAATCCGAGTCGACCACTTTTGACAATGGCTTACACTTTAATACATTTATTCAACAAGAAACTGGGTTTAAATTTGGATATAAGCCAGAGGCAATTGATAAGCTTTAAGCATCTTAAATCCATACATACGCCAAGACCCGTATGAATAAGAGGCAATGTTTAAAGCCAACCACAGACAGCAGAGAAAACGTAAAGAAGAACACATTCCAGTATGAGCTGACTGGCAGTCTGACTCAAAATCTCATGATCATCAAACCTGACCCGACCCTTCAGGACAGACAGAACAAAAGAAACATTGTCTGACACAACAGATCTAATAGACTGCTTGATTATAAACAGTGGCACAAGCAGTCATGAGGCAAAATGCATCACTTTGAAAGCTCCAGACACAGATAGACACAACAGAAAGGCCTTACAGGTTAAATGTACTGCTGCCACCTACTGGTCAGGATCAGTGTCTGCAGATCGTTCTATTTCATTTTATAAGTTCAGAAATTTAGCAGTGACATAAAATACAAGGCTTAGGTTACAGTGGTAACTGCATTTTTTTTTTTCCACAGGGGCGGGCTGTGGCTCAGTTGGTAGAGTCGGTCGTCTCTCAAACGGAAGGTCAGGGGTTCGATCCCCAGCTCCTGTAGCTTCAAATCTGATGTGTCCTTGGGAAAGACACTTAACCCGAAGTTGCTCCCGCTTCGCCGGCAGAGTACGTGAATGTAAAGGAATGGGATTAGTTACTTCTGATGGACACTTTACATAGCAGTCTATGCCATCAGGGTGTGAATGGGTAGGTGTGACCTGCAGTGTAAAAGCACTTTGAGAAAGATTTGAAGAGCGCCATACAAGCACAAGTTAATTCACCCTTTACAGATAGGCCACTTTTTTAAAAAAGTTTTCATATTAAGTAGAGGTGGGGGAAAAAATTGTTTTCTGTAAAAATCGAGGTTCTTATTTTCTGGGCTAATCAGTCACTCCCTGCTAAGTGCTACAGCTAGCTCTTTAACTAGAATGCCAAATGGAACAGCAAGAAATTCAGCCAGTCTCACAGATGACTGGAGTAGATCCTGAAGTATGTACTGTGCCAAGACTTTGAATCCATGGATCCATGAATCCACTTGTTTTGAATCAAAAATAGATTCTGAATCGAATCGTGACCCCGAGAATTGAAATCAAAACGAATCTTGAGACACCCAAAGATTTCCAGCCCTAATAGAAAGTAGCAGTTACATTTTTCAGACTTCATAAAATCACTTGTAATGTTTTGGTAGTACAGCAAGGATAACAAATAACAAGTGGCACTTGTGTAATGTACAAGCTGCTTAACCATCATGTTGACATTATCATATTAAACGAGTACAGTGGCCATATTGGATCAATCATCAGCTTTTACCTGTAGCATTGCTGGTGTGAGAGAGGCCGTAGGTAGAGAGGGGCTGCAGAGGTTCATGGGGGAGAAGTCAGAAGCGGTGACCAGCAGAGTCGGCGGGCTGATCTGCAGGACTTTGGGTGGCTTGCGTGTCTTTCCTGAGTTTAGAGTGCTGACTGTGGTGCAGCTGCTCACAGAGGACGAACTGGTTTCAGGGTCCACAAAACTGTTCTCCTCTCCTGACAAAACTACGCTGTTGTCCACCTGCTGGATAAGGGGGACAGAAATGTCTCTCAGTGTAAACAAACAGAGTACAATGAAGAGTATCAGGAATTTGAATCAATATAAAACATTTTCTCACACATTAGAAACTGCAGGCAGAGCCACAGTGAACTGTTAGTTAAAAATTAACTCAGACTGGATCCACACCAACTCACAAAGTGATGTTTATCTGTGCATAAATTCCGTTGAACAGTTTGTATCTGACTTGATCGGCTGACTTTGCTATGAGCTGATGGGCATTGAAACAGGTAGCCTGTATGAAGCAGTCCAGCCTATTCACACACTACCCCATCGAGATGCTTGGGTTGAGCTGAGAAAGGCAAGTGAATTTTGCTGCAAATTTTCCCTTCAACTATTGAAAACCATCTGCTCCTTTTTAGTTAGGATGTCACAAAATAAATGTGAATAATTTAAAAGAGACTTGTGAGTAGAGCACACACATAAACATTTCATGTAAAAATAAATAACCAAAACTATTAACTTAAATTAACTTCAACATTATTTCGTTCCTGTGTGATCTTAAGTTAAAGAAACTAACCAACACATTTTGATTTCAAAAACCCCATTTAACTGTTTTTATGATTAACTCCTTCATTTTTGTTGAGATGTGTTTGTATGTGTACTTGCCTTTTCCAGTGCCTGAGAGTCTGCGGGCTGAGACGATCCTGACTCAATGTCACTGTCAATCACCAGCTCCTGGGAGGAGTCAGGCACTAGGCTTGGGGAGGGGCTGGCCGAGGTCAGGTCTTGTATGCTGAACGTTGATGCTGACGGACGGCTGTGTTCAAATGTGTAGATGGACTGGGACGGCAGGGGGGAGTGTGTGCTGACATCTACAGCCCTCGTGGGCAGTGCTTGCAGAGAATCCAAATGGTTGGATATTAGCGTGGGCTCGATTACAACCTGAAGAGGCAGCGCTGGTGCTGATGCTGGCTTTGGAGGGGTGTTTCCAAACTTGATAACGGATGGCGAAGTATTTGGCTGCTGAGGTTGAGGCAACTGCTCATGGCTCTGGGCCGAGGCAGTGACACCTCTCTTGTCAGCCATCTTCTCTGCTGGGTTCTCTATTTTGATGGACTTGAAGAGCTGGCGTCCATTCTGCAGCGAGTTGAGGGTGAAGGACGTGTACAGGCCGGAGTGGATGTAGTCATTACGGTTTGACTGCTTGGTGCTGGAGCTCAGAGCTGCTGTGCTGCCTCCCACCCTGCTGCGGTCACCAGACTCATCCTCCTGCAGGATGCTGTCCCCTCTCTTAGACAGGAGAGGAAGGGCCCCAGCACCAACATCCCCGCTCTCTGTTCGAGCCGCAACATCTCCTTTCAGGATGTCGGGATATGACACAAAGCGGTAGACAAACTTCTGACCATTCACCTTCTTTATGATGTTCTGGAAAACAAAAAACAAATTGCACGAGGTCATACATTAGATACATGAATATTCTTCCTAAATGAAATAAAAGACAGAATTCAGAGAGAGCAGAAACAAGATTTGTCTTTAAGTAGTCTGCCTTTACCAAAGAGGCCCTTAAAGAAAAAAAATAGAAGAGTGAGACCACAATAAGCTTTGTGCGTGGGGACAGCTCTGTCTTTCCTGTCTGTACCAAACTAGCAGCCACTAATGCTGCTGCCAAACATACCAGAGCAGCCCTGCCCAGAACGCCTACTGGGCCAGCCTGTGCTTCTGTCAAACCACAGGCAGATTGAGAGACTGATGGTACTCTCTCTCTCTCTCTCTCCCTCCCTCCCTGCTGCATGACTCTGAGCAGGACTTTGACCATGCTAAGATGCAATTAACTCGTGTTTATTGTGCTGTACTGGGTCACTCTATTGTGCAGCTGTCTTAAGGAAATAGTCGACAAGGGGTCCTCTGCTGTTGCTTCAAACCATGTGCAATTATGCAAGGCCTCTAGCATATTTGTATTCCACTATTACATCATTTACTTTAAAATTACCGTACATGTTTTTTCCTATTTATGTAATCCATGAACATTTTTAAGAGTTCCTTCTTTCTTTTCTAATACTCGTAATAAAATGAAGACAACTCTGCAGGGCACAAACTCACAACTTAGTGTGCATGCATATTCCTATAGAGTTTGTGAGGGTGTTACAGACAGAAAGGTATATTTCTATTTACTCGTGCACCAATCTTCCAAAGGCATTGGCAACTGGTCATGAAAATGAACATGCACTGGAATCGCAACATGTCAATGATTTGATTTAAAAGCTAAATGAGTAGTCGTCTGTTTTCAGCATTCATGGAAAGCTCTGTTAACATAATGGATACTTAAAATGATCTATATCTTGTTCGAGCAGAACGAGGGGACTGTCTATGGCTTTGGATGTCAAATGGAGTCAGTGACGGAGTAATAAGAAGCAGAAACATAGGACTTGAAGGAAATCCAGTCTACAAACCACATTGTGGCCAATCCACTATTCAGAGGGTTGTGTTAGCCAACCATATTCTGACATGCTTCTACCCACACAGACCAACATCAGAAATTTGGAAACAGATGAAAAAGCTGTAATTGGTCCAAAGTTTGACAAGCCAACTACATTAAAGAACATCACATGCTTCTAGTTTGGGCCTGGACTCGGGATGCAAAGAAGTATTGTGTGTTTATTCAAGAAATGTGTCCATTCAGGTTTCCTGTGGGGACGAAGAGGCAAGGATCATGTGTTAAATCCACAATGTGTGGGAAGCAGGGAAACAGCTGGCTGACGGTTCACCCAATATTGGTCTTGTGGTGGCTTACGTTAAAATTAAGTGTGAGCGGCACAAAAAAACACAACAGCCACCGTCAGTCCCCTGAAACCCAATGCTGTGTCCAAGAAAAACGGAGTTGATGTGTTCCTTTACCTTGTCGTAGTAGTATCTTAGAGCCCTGCTGAGTTTGTCATAGTTCATGTTAGGCTTGTTCTTGCGGGCTCCCCACAGACGGGCCACCTCCTCTGCCTGCAGCAGTTTAAACTCCCCCTCCTCATTGGTCCAGCAGATCAGCTGCTCATTACTGGGATCCAATAGGAGCTGGAGAAGGAACTGCCACAGGGTGACAGAGTTGTCCATGTCTCTCACTAAGATAAAAAATAAAAAAACAGAAATAGGAGAGAACAATTACAAGTCAATAAAGCAAAAAAACTGTTCCTCAACCGAAAATTATGGAGTTCCTTAGCCCACTAGGGCAGCAGTTAACTTGAGTGCAGAAATGAAGTTCTTGTTTATCCACTCTGCTCTGACATGTTTAATTAAATCAATGAACTAAAAAGTCAAAGCATTCTGTATGTGCATGGATAACAGCCCAACAGAAGTAAGGCCAAATGCAGTATGAGTCAGTTTGAATGTGCAATGCAGTTTACAAACTCAGACTAACATTTTAATGTATGCACAAAACATCAACAACAACAACAATGGGACAACAACAACAATGGGAAAACGCTGGTAAAAATCAACCTCACGTGCATATTTGAAAGCAAAACAAACCCCTTTAAGGCACAAGCTCTGTTGTATATCTAACGCAGAGTGATTTACGGTAAAAGCTTATTGAATAAGAGGCGGTTTCACAGTTCCAGGTGCACCATGTGGTAGAAACGCTGCTCCATCATATGGGTCCCACATTCCAGTGAGTTAATGCAACCATACATCTTGAGGAATCTCGAGTGGTTATATGGCCTGCAGCCACACTGTTCACATTGGCTAATTATTTTAATACAAGAAACTAACACTTCATCATAAATACCTGTTATTTCTTTTAAGGACACCTATAAAATGTACCACTGTGATGTGGCTACTGGCTGTGCTAATCAAAGCCAAACATCTTGTTCACATCTGGCTCTTAAAGCGTGGCATACCAACATATGGTTTTTTTTAAATGAAAAGCCCCCTCACAGACTGGGGTAACGAATGATCATCATGAAGGAGTTAATTCAAACAACAGGGGGGTTATGGAAAGACGTTGCTGCTAGAGGAATCATGCTGACACAAGGGCTTTATCCAAGGTGAAAATGACATACTAATACCATTATTTCTGCTGTATTATATTCAGTACTGTTATTGAGAGACATTCTTCTCACACACATGGGCCTGAACATGCACAAACAGGACCTATGAACACGCATTAATGCATGCTTTTCCTGAGGTTGGCCCAAGGTATGTGCCACCCAGCCACAAGTAATATGCTGAAGTTGGGCTACCTTATCTTTACCTGTACTACTATTGCTGTACCATGAAACGGCATAGTGCACTTCAAGCTTGCACTTTAACCCCCAAAAGAAAATTTCAGGATGATTTATTAACCATCACATGGACATTTAGTTGTCTTTTGTTGCGTTTTATCTAAAAAAAAAAAAGAGATTTGAGATTGTATTTTTAGGTCAAATCGCCCCGCCCTAATAGTAAGTTGCATGAACCACAATGACGGGGTTGAAATATGAGCACTAGGGTTTTGCTTATGCTTTTGTTTTGCTGTATTTGACGACTTTTCACTATCTTAACATGCAACCGCCATGTAGCAGTATCTTTGATACTTTTAAACGGTTTAAACATGATTTTTCCATCTCTTGTATGGAGTTGCGATGCCATAGGCACTGGTTCAACGCCTACATAGGCAGTTTCACTGTAGCTGATTGGACCGCCCCTCAGGACTGAGTGGGTGTGTGCAAAAGCAGAAGGTATGCTAGTTTTGTTGAATCCAGCCTCAGACTTTAAAGATGCCTTATAAAACAGAATAAATAAAACCCATGATTAACATCATAATACATTGTCTGCCAATCCAATGTCTTATCTCATCAGTGTAGACTTCAGACTTTTTCTTTGGTATTCTTAAGTCATTGAGAAAAAATGCCCCCCCCCCCCATAGAAAACTTAATTTTACCACCCAAAACAAAAACAGAATTTTGAAATTCTTTCACATCCTGAACCATGCTATATGTCAGCAGGGTTAATTGGTGCCTTCTTCAAGTCTACAAACAAGTCAACTTTTGCATGTCTTTCATCTCTGGTGGATAGCAGCAGCCTCTCAATGGCCTCATTTCTCTCGCCATTTCCTTTGTCCTCTATCCTCCTGCCTTTGTCCCATTAGACGATCTTAATGTGCCACCTTGAAGAATGCTTACATTTCTAAAAGCCATTTAAAGAAAGGAGGAGAGAGAAAAGAACTAACATTTGGGTAAAGCAAAGAGCAAGACACTCATCTGTGAGGGCAGGACACAAAGCCTAAATGTACAAACAAGCAATGGATTACAATAAAAACAATCTGGCAAGTTACGCAACTGCGTCTGACAATATCAAATTTACAAAGACTCCTATGCGCTGATTTGCGTTTTCCTTTAACGCCTGCCCTGTTCCCTCCACTCATCTCTACTCGCATCTCTTCCTTGCCCTTTCACTGGCATCACAGAAAGGAGGGACTTACTCAGGAGGAGAGGAGGCAATGAAAAGGTCTGAGGACTGTATTAACAGAGACTGAGAAGAGGCTTGTTTCTTAGAGCAAAAGGATGTATACTCTTTTCCCCGGAAGCAGGGCTACCTGCCGAAAAAAAAAAAAAAGATGAAAGATGCAGGCATCATGCTGTGAGTAACAGTCTCAATGAAAGTGGGGGAAGCTCCATGTCTTTGGAACAGCTTCAGTGGTCCTTTTCCCGCTGTCTCTCTGCATCCTGAAAGCCTGAAAAAGAGGAAACCTGCTCCACATGAAGATTCAGTGGTGTTTAGATTTTGGTGGTTGGAGAGGCCATAAACAAAGAGACAGAAAGCACGTTGCTTTTCCTGAAGCCTACTGACTTATTTGTCGTTATTAAGCTACGTATTATTCATTTATGTTGAGTTCAAACGCATTGTGTTGTGAAATCATTCCACCTTTTCATACATTGGTGCTATCTCAATTTCAGCTGTGTACGCAGCAGAGGAAGGGGAATTTGTTGCTCAAACCTGGTGCTCCTAATAGGAATCCATAAGTAGCATCAGACTTAAGTTTTAAATGACATAAAACTGAAGAAGCAGAGGTGGATTTTCTGGCAAAACTTCACCAACTAACAAGGCGCATGAAGAGTGAAAGGCCCCGTCGAAACGCGTCAGTCTACTTTGTTAGTAAAGTTCTTTATACAGGAGCTTTTTGACCTCTAGGTGACATAAAACTAAAATGAAATAAAAACTAAAATAGCTAAGAATCTGTGTGTTTTTTTTTAATACTTTGTCAAGCTCCATGCTTTGAATGTCACTCTGCTGTTCATCTCCTTACACCGGCTCCCAGTTACTGCTCGCATCAAATATAGAACTCTGCTGCTCGCTTACAAAACAGCGACAAAAAACGTCTCCTCCTTATTTTAACTCTCTCATCCAGGTCTACACTCCCCCCGCCCGCTACGCTCTGCCAATGAAAGGCGTCTGATCCAGCCTTCACAACAGGGTCCTAAGACGCTGACTAGACTCTTCTCCTCTGTCGCCCCCCGGTGGTGGAACGAACTTCCAAACTCCATTCGATCTGCAGAGTCCCTCTGCACCTTTAAGAAAAAGCTAAAGACCCAGCTCTTTCATGAATACCTACTAACTTAATGACGATGGTCTCCATATTATTGATGATGGTTGTCACGATTGTTTTTTTTTTGACAACGATGACTTATAAGATGGTTTCTATACTGATTAGAGCTCTCAAGAACTGCCCTCAATGTTGTGCTTTGCCTCGGGTCACTTCCTGTCAGCACCTGTGTGTCCAATCAGACTCAAAGCTGATCGTTTGCTCTTACTGACATTGTTCCCTTTTTTATAGATCCTTGCTTGTGTTGTTCTTACTCTCTGATGTACGACTCTTTGGATAGAAAGCGTCTGCTAAGTGAATCGTAGAATTGTCAAACTAGATCCATTTCCTATTATTGAAACAAATGTCTGTATATCATGTGATTTTTTTTTTTTCCCTCAACAGCCAAAACAGTTCTTGCATTTTGTAATCTTTTATCCAAAAAAAATCTGTACCCAATACAAACCCAAATCCAAGTGTGGTAATGGAGTAACACACACACACATCCTCACGCAGTGACACACTCAAATGTCAAGGAAACCCCCCCACACACTTCTTCCATAAGGCAAAGATTTGTGTTCTTATGTTGCAAGGGCTTTTTTATCCTAATGTGGGTTTTGCAATTCACATCCCCGACAGCTGAGATCCCCCCCCCCCCCCCCCCCCCACATACTGTCACACAAGAAACTAGTGTGAGCAGGTTGAATTTGGATGTTACAGACTTGTGCTCTTCATGTCAGAATCTGTCAACCAGTGTGTGTGTGTGTGTGTGTGTGTGTGTGTGTGTGTGTGTGTGTGTGTGTGTGTGTGTGTGTGTGTGTGTGTGTGTGTGTGTATAATCTTCTTATGGATACGGGTAAATCTGCCCAGATTCATCCAAACCTGCAGGAGTGGAGACACCCCCCCCCCCAACACAATCTGTCCGACCTGTCACGTTAAAACCGGTGATATGGGGGGGGGGGGGTAAAAATAGGACAGCGTCAGAACTGCTGCCAGAGAAAAAAGATAACAGATGAAGGTTATGTAACATCCCACATTGGAGGTAAACGTTATCAACGAAGCACTGAGACCCTCCCAGGCCAAATCAAATCAGATTTCATCATGCACTCGGACTGGAGGGACTGGAGGGACTGTTTTCTGACTGGTCCCCCCCCCCCCGCCGACAGAAAGCCAGGAAACCCACACAGAGCAAAATAAAAGACCACTTGTTGATGATTTTTGGTTTCGCTACCCACAACCCCCAGTCAACCAGCAATTTCCCCCAATAGTTGTAAATGCGTAAACGTGTCTCCAAAAACAACCCCCCCCCCCCCCAGGAGGCAAAAACAAAAATCCAGAATATGCTCTTAAGTTTGATCACTACTAAAGAGAGCTAGCTTCGTTAGCCCTGTGTGCTAACAGTACCTCGATCGTAGAGCCCGCTGAATTTCCGAGTCGTCGAGCCGCGTAGAAATATTCCCAAAACATCGCTGGAGAGCTTTCTGTCACACCGTAGGTCAGAAAACACGCTGTGGGGGAAAAAAAAAAAAAAAAAAAGTGTGGAGAAAACACCTGAAGGTAAAATACATTAAGCTGCCTTTGCAACCTCACAGGCGAATTATCCTGTTTAGAAAAAGAAAAAAAATGTTGCGTTCAAAGCGCCTCGTATTTTTTAAAATCGAGAACTGTTATGTGCGTTTGCGGCAATACTTTCTGTTCAAAATGTAGGATTGTTTGGGTAATCCAGAAATCTTTTTATTATAGTGGTTGGTGTGAATGTGTGAAAACACCTGCTTGGTTTGTGAGATCGATTCTGGTCGTTATTTTTATCACAACATATGCACTTCTTAAATTCACTGACAGGGGAATTTACCTTGCCAAAAATGTCTCTGAATACAAATATTGTGAGCATGTATGAGCAGCGTTACCTTCACCGTTACACTCGTTGACGCGGCTTGCGAGCTCTGGTGGGGGAAAAAAAAAGTTTTTCCATATCAGCACCTTACTGTGCGAGAAAATAAATAGCCACCTGTTTGCGCGGTTATGTGCGACGCTCAGATTTCCGTTGCTTCCAAATGGCCGCGAATGTATCATTAAACTCGTGCTGAGATCACTTCCTCTCTCGCTTCTCTGGTTGTTATGTTTATCATCTTGTTGTTACTTTACCCTCCTACATATTTCATCGAGTTAAAAAATGAACAAGACTGGATATTTATTAGTAATTGTGTGTTTTTTTAAATTACAATATGCCAACACCTATGCAGGGGTCTAATTTTGATCATACGAGAAATCGAAAAAACGATTTCTTGTTCACTTTTTGCTTAATGGGTTATTGAAAATGACAAAGAGCAAGTTTTTAATTAAAACACTGCCATGAAACGATTTATATTTTCTCAAGGAGGTAAATGAATACGTATTACTTTATCATAAAGCTACTTGAAACATGAATGGATGCTCTCCTGAATACTTCAGGTGCCAATATAAAAAGGTGTGCATATGAATTTAGAGCTGGAGCAGGGCATTGTGGGTAACTTTTGTTGGCACCTGTGGATAATTAGTCCTAATAATGAAAGGAATTAATTAGAAAGGCTTGTGGTTGGGTTGAACCAGCCAATAATGCCTGAGCAGTGTATGACAATGCATTTCTTTCTTCCTCACTCCAGTTGTGGTTTTTAGTTTATCCCAGCATGATGGGAGTCAGAAAAAAAACATCATATCTATTATCCATTAGTTTCTTCATACTAATGATCAGAGCCATTCCAAATGTGAAGGGCCAGATTAATTAAGCATAGCACTCTTTTGTTATGAGTAATTTATACAAATTTAAGAATTATGCAACATATTACACTTCATCGTAGTGATTTCTTTTTAGGGTAGAATCAATTATTTTATTTTTTCAGACACCAACAGTATAAATACGATACATGGTAAATGTGTTGTCTGATTAACCACCAAGTGGCAGCAAATCATAGCAGTCTTGGACTACAGGTCACCAGCACTCAGCACATTTTGAACTTACAGTACATATCTGGTGTGGACACAGTCTACAAAGATGAATTAAACCATCTCTTAATAATACATTTAACGTATATAAAGGAATGTATATGATACTGATTTAAATTTTAAAACTGTGTTCACTGACTTAACTTGGAAAGCCCGACATATTAAGTGCACGAATACAATCACAGCATTAAATGACACTTTCTGGAGGTGAAATGGGCTCAGCTGAGAGTTAAAGCAAGACTAACACTATGCAGAAGTAGCAGTCCACCATGCCAACTTTTTAAAAAACAAAATCAGTGAATAAAGAGAAATCCCAAGCAAAAATCTCTGTTGCTGCACTTTACTATTAAAAATACTAATTGGCAACTGATCACAGAACTGTATCAGTAATCAGAGGACTGTGACAATCAGCCAAAAAGCTAATCAAAACTATTCAGTCAGAGTTTGGAGGGTGATTATTTATAGAGTGGTGTTTCTGGTTTCACCTGCTGGCTCAGTGACTCATCACAGCTCAGGGAAAAATCTGAAGTATTTGAATTTGAAGTTTTACAATGTGTTCGTAATCTAAACTGATGTGATGTGTATCGTTTTAAAAGCTAGCACTTGTAGACTTTAATAGAGTAAAATCTTGGAAAGCAGCGAGCGTTTATAGTTTGTGCAGGAGTGACTTAGTCCACTGTAACCTATCTGACTTCCAGTCCCTGTTTTGTTTTGTTTTTGACTGAAGAACTTGTGTCCAGTTGAATCCTTTTGAAGGTTTATGTAGGAAGACTTCACATACTGTACTTAAGTTTATCTGATTTCTGTAGATGGCTGTTCGTCATGAGCCTGGATTTTACCAAGATTTCTGCCTGCTAAAAGGATGTTTTCTTACCACTGTAACTTTTGCTAAAATTCTGCTACAGTGCTCATGATGGATTAACGCTGGGTATTTGTAACACAACAATAAGTGAGGTCTTTTTACCTGCTTTTTGTAAAGTGTCTCAATATAACACTTGTTATGAGTTGCCGCTATACAAATGAAGATTAATTGATTTGTTTCAATGTTCGTTCTAAAGGCAAAATGGTCAACCTTGTTGATGATCAGAGGCTTCTATTCTTCCTCAGATAAAAATAATATTATGAGTTTTACATATAAAATGAATTGAACCTTTACCAAATGATTCAATATGACACATTTAAAATTTACATTTGTAACAAAACTTTATTTGAGTTTATATGAAAATCAAAATTCATCAGATGTTTGGGAGCCGTCTGTCTCTTTCTTGAAGGTTTTGCTTCCGAGCAACGATACAAAGACTCCCTGATGGTGAGTGAGGAGCGTCCCAAACCATCCAGCACAGAAGAAGCAGATGGAAACAAATGTCCTCGGTGCTGGTCGGAGCGCTCCTCATCACTGGTCTGCAGGCTGAAGAGGGTGGTGCTGGAGGTGGGGGTGGAGGTGGAGGTGGAGGTGGAGGAGCGTTGAATTCATAGGATTTATGTTTACAGTCAGCTGCTCCAGGAACACAGAGGACTCCTGCCCTGTGAGACAGAAAAACTTGTGATTGAATTATTTAGCCTATAAATAACCCACACAAGTGATGTGAGACCATTTGTTTGACCTTTTTAGAACTCTGGCAGCGGCGTTCTGTACTGATTGAAGGCGATTGAGGGCGGGCAGGCGGGCGGGCGGACGTACTGAGAGAGGTGAAGAGCGAGTTACAATCAAATCATAAGGCAGCCAGGTATGACTTCAAACCTGGAGCTAGAGATACCACCTGAGTGATCAGCAACCACTTCAAATATTTGGGAAGTTGATCCTGGGCTCTTCAGTCCTTTCTGGAGTCAACATTTTTATACTTGTAAAAGCAAGTTTAGGTCCTCTGTTTCAGTCCGAGTCGCTGTCTTCCAGAGGAGCCTGCCAGTATCTTCTGAGTGTAGAGGAGGTGAGTCCGGAGGTGGAAGGCTGCTCCTCGTCGATGTCTTCGTAACCCCTCCTCTGCCTCTTCACACCGTCCTGTGCTGCAGCACTCTCTTCCCTGATCCTCTTCAAGGAGGGGCCCGGGCCTGAGGTGGATGGAGCCCACTCTTCTGGACCAGAGGGGACAGGCGGTCCAGCAGGAGGACGAGCAGGAACTGGAGGAGCGGTGGGGACAGGTGGATCTTCTGGAAGGAGCTGCTGCACGAGAGGGGAGGTCTGAAGTCTTCTTCTTCTTCTTCTTCTTCTTCTTCTTCGAACATCGAGTCGTACCCGGAGTCTTCACTCTCCACGTCAGACCCGTCAGTCCAGTCGATGCTGTCATCGGTGTCTTCATCTTCATCCATGTCCATCGGGTGTCCGATGTCTTCATCTGGGGATTGCCCCCAGCCTCACCTGCAAAAGGAAACCCAAACTCACCTTCCCACACGTCAGGAATGAAGAAGACTGGGAGATGGCGATCCTCGTCATCGTCCTCGAGGTCGTGGAACAGAGCGCCTGAGGAGGATAAGTCAAAAGGTTTCAAAATGTGATTCAACAATTCACTTTTCCTTAGATCATTCAATGTGTGTAACTAAATAAACAACAATAACATAAGTAAAGTAATGTAGAGGCTTTTTCTTTTCTTTTTTTTGTAGAGCGGTCTTTTCAAAGTTACATCAGGCCACGGTCTTATATAACCTCAGTTGGACCTGTATCCATGACAACTGCTGACACGCGTACGTGCGTGCGTGTGTACGTGTTAGTGTAGGCACAGAAAGATAAATATGATTTTTTATCACTATTATTTTTATTTTATTTTCCCTATTAATTTTTATTTTTGATACTTTTACACGTATGTGTAAATGTTACAAGAATACTTTCATGACATACTGCAGATGCAGTTATATCTGCATGTTTTATAATAGGCTATATTCATTAGTTTATTTTGACTGAGACAGTCTACATACAGTGTACACTTCACTGTACCAGCTGAACATGAGCTAAATTACATCTGTAAGCCCTGGAGACAGAGACAACATCTATGACTACAAAGTTAGAATACAATACACAAATCATTTCATTCATTTGAACTGTTTTTTTCAGGCCATTGTAAAGCGTCTCAGTCTCCCCTCACTCCTGTTGAGGAGACATATACAGTAGATGCTAAAAGGTCCTCTGCGTTAGCCAGCAGGTCAGTTTAAGAAGCATGTTTTATAAAGCCATGATATCATTGTGTAAGCTGATACTCTGTATCAGTGCCTCCTGATAAGTACAGTCAAGAGTTCAGGTCTGACATTGGCCCATAATGAAGGGCATGAAGAAGACGTTTTTTATTCTGCTACAGTAGCTTCAATTCTAGTCTAAATCAGGACCAACCGTTAAATGGAATCCAAAGTTTTCTGTAGTTGTGTGCACTTTTAACTCACTCAATGAATGTAAGCATCAATAACTGAATGAATGTAAGAATTCTAATGAAGCATACTGTTTGTGCTATTGTACATGCACACCTTTGTCCACTCGTTTTATTATCTCAAATCATAGATCAACAAGTCTGCAAATACATTTAGCTGAGAATCTGTATCCCTCACAGAGATCATAATCAGGAGAGAATGAGTGAAAGCTCAGAGCATTATAGCTTTTTTCATTTTCAATTTTTTTTTTTGAATGATGGTAA